TTCGGAATCGCATTTACCTGTTTTTATTAAAAATCATCTTGGCAGCAGAAATAGACTGAATTCAGATAGTTTACTGGCGGAGAAGGAGGGATTTAATCGTAAATTAAAATCCGCTGAGGGTCCAAAAAGTTGTCGAACCAGCAGACTTCAAAGACCAAAAACTGCAAGTTCCATTTTATGCGGTGATTCCACGAGGAAAGTTGAACCAAATACATTTGAAAAGGACGATGCACTTAAAAGGCGTGGTATCAAAAGAGCAGTAACGCCAAATATTCAAATAATGAAAAAAAAATCACAGTCTGCAAGTAGTCGGGATTTTGATCAAATGGGAAAATCTGATTCACAGGTGTGTGAATTTTATCTTTAATATAACTTTTAACTAATTGTAGTTAATTACATTAATTTTAAAAGGAAAACAAAAAAAATAATTATTTTTTATATTTTATTTTTTTTATACGTTTATACTTATTTTTTTACAATTATTTTTATAAAATTCAAACAATTTTGGAAATTCGTCTTCAAAATAATGGTAAATTGGAAAGTATTTGAACTACCTCGGACTAAAATTAATTATATTTAAGACTCTTAAACTAAATTTTTGTGGAAAAATTTTTTTAAAAAATCTATTTTTTATATTTTGGAGTTAGGGGTGCTTTTTTCGAAATTCAATTCAAAGCCAATTAAGAGCTCTAAATAAGCTCTAAATTATAGAAGAATAAAATTTAAAAATTTTTTTAAATAAATAATTTTATAATTTAAGTTTATAAACTTTTTGAACAGTTTCAAGAATTTTTTAAGACATTCAGGCCTCGGATATTGTGACTTTTTTTAAACTTTCTTCGACTATTTTAAAAAAATGCGCCTTTTTTCGACTTATTTTCAAAAATTACGACTGTTTCGACTTTTTTCAAAATGTTGCAGCAAAATACCAATTTTTTTGTATAAAATGCAACTTACTTCGATTTTTCTAAGGTGAAAAATAACTAGACAAATTTTCCAAAATTATATTTTTAAATAATTTTTTTACGATAATAAAATCTTAAAAAGTATCCTAAAAATTTTTAGAATAATTCAAATAATTAATTAAATTATCCAAAATTTTGATGAAAAATCTTTAAGTGTAAATTTTAAAATGAAAATTTTTCTTTTAAAAATTATATTAAAATATTTTAGAAAAAAGAAATTTTTAGAATTTTTCAAAATTTTTAATTAAAATTCTTTAAAAAAATTTATTAGTTTTCCATAACTTACAGAAATTCTTTTAAGAAATTCAGGTATTTTCAAAAAAAATATACGTATAATTAAAAAAATTTAGAATAATTGAAATTTTGTAAAATTTAATTGACAAAAGTTTATTTTTTTTAAAGTATTTTATTACAATTTTTAAACATCAACTTTTGGAGAATTTTAATTGCAAATTTTTAAAATAATTAAATTCTCAAAAATTGTTTATGTAAAAACTTCAAGTGTAAATTTTAAAATGAAAACTTTCTTCTACAAATTATGATAAAATATTTTAGAAAAAAGAAGTTTTTAGAATTTTTTCATTATAATTGTTTCAAATTTTAAATATTACAATATTTTCACTTACATATTTCAAAAAATTCAAATACCCACAAAAAATTAATAACAATAACATTAAAATTTTTTAGAATTATTTGTAACATTTTGAAAAAGACAATTATGTTCAAAATTTTTAATAAGAATTCTTGAAAAAAATTTATTAGTTTTCTCTAACTTACAGAAATTCTCTTAAGAAATTCAATTATTTTCAAAAAATTACAGTACAATATTTTTAAAAAACTAATTCTTAGAAATGTTTTACCATAATTTTTTAACAATCAATTTTCTACGAACAAAGTAAATTAAAATTATTAAAAATTTAATTTTTCAGACCTAATAGAATTTTAGATAAAACATGTTTATATTATTTTATAATTAAAATTCTTTAAAAGTTTTATTATTTTTTTTTTATATTTTCCAGAAATTCTTTTATTTTTAGAAGTATTTATCAAATTTGAAATTTTTATAATAGATTTTATCAAATTTCAATTATTATTATTAGATTGTATCAAAATTCATTTATTTAGAAATGTTTCAGTTGTACATTTAATTAAAACACTTTATCTTTCAAAAATTATTTAAAAATATTTTTAAAAAATTAATTTTAGGAATTTCTTTATTAGAGTTTTTTGAAAATATTATATCTTAATAACTTTTCAAAATAAACAATTATTATATAAAATTGAATTTTTGTTTTTAAATAATTGATTTAGAGATGAAATTTAGTTGAAAATTGTAGAAAATAATTGAATTTTGGAAGGACTATAATTGTAATTTTTAGAATGTATTTCGAAGGTTTTAATTGACAAAATTTTCTTTTACTACTTGCACAAGAATTCTTGATATTCTTAAAAAATTTTTTTTGGTATAAATTGACTAAATTACTTATAAACAAAAATTTTCACGTTTTGAAAATTCTGAATTGTAAAACGTTTCGTCTGACTTAAATTTACTTGAACTACTTAGACCGAAAGTTTCGTAACTTTTGAAATAGTAAGAAAAATTTTGAGTGTTTTAGCTGACCAAATCTATTTTTACTACTTATAGAAGAATTTTTTAAATTTTGTCTGACTTAAATTTACTTGAACTACTTAAAAAAATTTATTTTTATAAAATTCAAGTTTGTAAACTTTTGGAATTTTTTCAAAAATTTTTTAAGACATTTAACTCACCAAATCTTTTTTTTTTACTAATCGTAGAAAAATTTTAGAATTTTTAAAACGATTTGTCTGCTTTAAATTTATTTAAACTACTTAACAAAGAAAATTTTGACATTTTGAAAATTCTAAATTGAAAAACGTTTCGTCTGACTTGAATTTTCTTGAACTACTTAAACAAAAGAAAATTAGTAACTTTTGGAACTGATACAAATTTTTAAGCATTTTTCGCGTGACTTAATGTACTTTTATTACTGTTACAAGAAGTTTAAAAAATTTTTAAACGTTTTGTCTGATATAAATTTACTTGTACTACTTAAAAAAAACTTCAAGATTTTCAAAGCACAGTTTTTCTAAGACTATTAATTTGAGACGAGAAACGTAATAAAATTGTTACTGACGATAACTACTTTTATTACTAATAATAGTAGTTCAGAAATTCAGAAACGATATGTCTGACGTAAATTTACTTGAACTACTTAATTACTAGAGTTTACTATAGTTTGGAATTACTATAAAATGCTATAAGTGTTTTAACTGAATTTATAAAAAATCAGACTAGTTTTATTTAATTTTTACTACTTTTACTATATTTCTTTCCATACTAATTAAAACTTTATTAAAAATTAAATGTCATATTTAAATGTCAAACATTTTTTAATAAAGTTTGAAAAAAACGAATTTTTAAGGGTTCTAACTCCCAGGGTTGAAGGGGGGGGAAGGGGTAAAAATTTAGTTTGGGTGTAAAAAATGTGTCGAAAGTGGAGGGAGGGGGGAAGTAAAAATAAAGTGAAACATTAAAATAATTCTAATTTAAATACTTTTTAGAAATTAAAGTAAAACATTAAAATAATTAAAATTTAAATAACTTTTGATAAAAAAAAATTACGTTCTCTAGAAAGAAGAAAATGATAAATGGTATGAGTGCACGCCTCCAATGACAAAGTGGTCTTCCTCAAACACTGTACAAGACACACGAGGCTCAAGATCGAAAACTTGTAGTTTAACGTCAACGGCGCAAATTTCTAAACGTATTTCACAAAATGTACGACGAACTGAATCAAAGTCAAGTGGACCACGAAGTAAATTGAATTCCAGCATTCAGTCGAAGATAAATTCGTCGCAGTTAAAAATTGATGAAATCAATTCCACTTTAAATAGAGAAAACACTAATAGCAATAATAATAATAATAGTAGACAAATTTCACGAAGAAATATAAAAATTGGAAATACCGAATCGAGCACAAAAAATTATATGCACTATAAAAATAAAAAGAAAGAAATGCAAAAATTAAATTCACCCGGTGACAAAGAAAAATTGATTCCACTCGAGCAGACTAATAGTATTTCGTCAGAACTACAAAACGAACAGAAACAATCACAAAATGAAAAATTAAATCCTTACAGGCAGACTGAGAAAAATTTCAGTGAACAATTTTAATTTTCAATGATATTTTCAATTTTTTTCTTTTTTTTGATAAATTCTTTTCTATCGTCTTATTTTTGTATAATGTATTAATGTTTTTTTAAGAACATGTTTATCGGATTTTTATATTAAATTAGTTTTTTTTTGTCTAAAAAAAACTTTATATGACATGTTTTATGATTACAATTTTTTTCATTTGTTTCTTCTGCACTGTCGGAGAGAAACTTGCCTTTTGATTCACTTGGGACGTGGTAAACTTTTTTTTTTCTTCACAAAAATATAACTTTTATGGAATAAATTTCAACTTGAATGTAAATTTTTTGTTGACTGAATAATTTTTATAAAAAAAAGAAAAAATAAAAGAAAGAAAAAAATGAGATATGAAATTTAAGAGATTTTGTAAAATATCATTTTTTTCGAAAGTAGAGCAAATGCACCAGATGTGGTTATTATAATTTTTGTACGTATAATGTGAATTGAGATAGTAGCTTTTAGCGAGAAAACAATTTACCAGCAGTGGAGAAGATTACTCTCTAAAGAATTTTCTATTTGTTTATATTTTCACTTGACCTATTTTTTCATTTTTCATTGTTATTTTTTCTTTTTCTTTTTTTTTACTTTTTTTTCTTCCATTTTTTCCTAAATGTTAAAAAAAGAAATCTTAGGTGCAAAATTGAAGGGGAGTAAAAAATAATGTCAACACATAAAATTTGAAATTAATTTTAAATTCAGAATTTAAAAATTACGATTATGTGAAGAGTTCAAAAATACACCAGGTGTGTGTTTCTTTTTCAGTAAATATGAGTTCAAATGGTGATAAAAAATTGTAATAAAAATTGCTATAATTTTTCCAGATGAACAATCTAGTCAGAGGGAGTATCATCTGCAGCAGTTGCAGAGCCATCAGTATCTGCAGAAGCAGCAGATGTTGCAAAGACAGCATCAACAGCAGCAATTGCAGAGACAACATCAACATTATCAGGGAACTGATCACAGTTCCCGAACAAACGGTTATAGCCGAGGACGCGTTGAAACTAGAATACTCTCACGACGTAAATGTTGTACGTAGATAAAACATTCATAACAAAAAAAAAAAAAAACAAAAAAAAAATGAAAAGAAACAAAGATTCTCTTTTATCATCTGAAAAAATTTCACAACTGACAATTATTTCGAATTTTAACTATTCTCATTAACTTTATCTTTTCTCGTTTCATATTTTTTACTTAGAAATTTTATTAACTATAAAATATTTTTTTTTAGGTCTGTAAAGAAAAAATAATATTTATTTTCTACGGTGTTTAAATAATACGAAAATGTTCAGAAAGTAGGGAAAAAGTTTCTTTTTTATATTTGAAAACAATGGAGAAATATATAAGAAGTAATTTTTTCTTAAGAAGTATTTTTCTCTTTTTCGTCTGACTAAAAACTGACTAAATATTTTTTAACTACTGAAATTAAAAGAAAAAAAAACTAAACAAAAATATTGAAACATTCATGTCTGACTGAAAATTACTTGCACTACTCGAAATATTTTTCTGTCTGACTGAAACTGAACTTTACTACTGTTGTTAAAAAAGTATTAGTTTAAATTAGTCCTTTTCCAATAGTTTATATTTACTACTATAAGGATAAATTTTAAAAAATTTGAAAAATGTCTGACTCAAAATGAACTGTACTACTGATGTTAAAAAAAGTATTTTTTAAAATAGTTTTTTCAAAAGTTGATATTAAAATAAATAAAAAATATAATTGTTTTAATTGATATCTACTACTGTGAATAAATTAAAGAAACTTTAAAACGTAATGTCTGACTTAACATGACTTTTACTACTAAGCACGAAATTAAAAAATTTTAATTTTGTCTGACTGTAATTGACTTTTTCTACTGTTAAAAAAATATGAACAATGTTTTTTGGGACAAAACTACCTTTTACTACTTAGAATAAAATTACAAGAATTATGTCTGACTGTAAATTGCTAGCACTACTTGAAATAATTTTCTGTCTGACTGAAACGGAACTTTACTACTATTGTTAAAAAACTGTTTTTCAAAAATTAGTCCTTTCAAAAGTTCATATACTAAGAAAAAGTTTTTAAAAAAATTTGAAAAATGTCTGACTCAAAGTGACTTTTACTACTGAGAACAAAACTGAGAGATTTTCAACTTTTTGTCTGAGTTTAATTGACTTTTTCTACTTTTAGAAAAAAATATGAGAAATTCATGACTAAAATTACCATTTACTACTTAACATGAAATTACAAGAATTCTGTAAGATTATGTCTGACCGAAAATTGTTGACACTACTTACAGTAAAATATAAAAAGTATTTACTATTTTTATGTCTGAAATCTGAATAAAAAGTTTTTATTAAAAACTGACTATTACTGGAATTTCTAAAATAAGGAAAATGAGAAATTTTAAATGTCTGACTGAATACTTTTTAAACTACTTAAATTTAACTAATAAATAAAATTGAAATAAAATAACTTTGACGTCTGACTATAAATTACTTTTACTACTCAATTACTAATATGAAAATTAAAAGTAAAAAGACTGGTTTTACTGCATTAAGAAAACAATACATTTGAATCAAACATAACTATCTTTTTTATACAATCAACAAAAAATTATATTTGAATTAAACATAATAATTTCAAGTTAATACTGAAATAATCAATATTGATATATAATAATAATTAATGAAAAATTAAAATAAAATGGAATGAAAAATTGAAATTAAATGAAATGAAAAATTGAAATTAAATTGTATTTTCAATAACAATTTTTTTTTTAATTAAGCAGAATAATTTTGATTTAATACTGAAATAATCAGTATTGATATATGAAAGTTGAAAAATAAAGTAAATAATAAATTTAAATTAAATAAATTGAAATTAAATTGTAACTTTAATAAAAATTACGTTTAATTCAATTATAAAATATATTTACCTTCAACACTTTTTTTCGTACGCTAGGTACTAATTTTTAAATTAAAAAAAAAAAATTCTCACTGTGTCCTTTTGAGAGGTTTGTCAAGAAATTATAAACTGTTTTCGTACTACTTGAACAACTGTAATTAATAAATAAAACATTAAATTAAAATTTTTTCCAATTTCACAAAGCGCACTAACTTTGACATAAATTAAAAATTTAAATTTACAAAGACTTATAAAAATTATAATTTCTGACAAGTTATAAAAGTAAGACATTTTTCATTTAATAAAAAAGTTTTTATTTTTTTTAATGTGAGGGGTTTTTTTTTCATGAAACCGTTTTGTCAGATAAAATCTTTATGAAAAGACTCATTAAAAAAATAATTTAAAATGTAGGTGCTGAAGACATCGTTAACTTGATTTTTTTTATATTTTCTTTTTTCTACAAGAAAAAAAAACAGCTTTTCCTTTTTGTATACAAACTTAGATATATAGCGTTTCTTTAAACAACGAGTCTTTTGTAAATAATCCTCGACTGTTTATTTTTGAAAGACTGCAAAAAAGAAGGAAATATTTGAAAAATACGAATAAATATAAAGCAATATTTTGATAGGTGATATACATATGATACGAAAAATTTAATTCTTTAATTTAAAAAAAGGATAATTATTTTCAATTTTTAAAAACAAAAACTTTTAAAAAATAAGTTAGTTTTTAACTTATTTTAAAAAAGAAAAATTTATTGTTTAGGTTATTTTTATTTCGTTAGTTGTTAGGAAATAATATTTAGGATTTTTTTTACCTGGATTAAAATAATTATACGTATTTTATAATTAATTTGTGATTAATGAAAATTTTTCACGTCTTTACTTTTTAAATCTGAATTAGTGAAAAAAGACACTTATCAATAATTGTAAAATTTACTACTTTGTACAAAAATATTACTATTTTAAAAAGTAATTATTTAATTTAGCAGTTATACATTTTAGTCGATTTTTTTAGACAAATGAATAAAATGAATAAAATTAAAAATTTTTTTTTTATAATTTTTTTTTACTAAAGTGGGTCAATTTTTACGAATTCAGATTTAGATAGTAAAATTTTGCAAAAAATATATAGTTTTAAAATTAAAATATACATTAAGATAAAATTCACCTGTGTGCCTTAAATGAGAAAATTTTTTCAATAAATGCGAATTCAATTTTGTAATATATTTATTAGATAAATTTTTATACACATTGTGTCACATATTATATATTTATAATATAATTGATCGTAATTATTGTATCAATGATATGCGAGTGGAGTTTATAATAAAATCATTTTTACACAAAATTTGAGAGAAAAAAAATTTATAATATCCTATTACTATTAACGCCAAAATACTACCATATTCGCAACATTGAATTTCACGTTCAAATAGATTTGTAATTAAATTTGATAATTAATGTGATAATTAATCCGATAAACAATGAATTTATTACGGTAATGAAGATTTCAGTGAGTTCTCATTGATTCGGTTCACATTACAATTACACAAATCGATAATTGCATTTTCCGTTCACTCAGCGATTCAAACTTTTTCCTTGTTTTTTTTTTTTTTTATTTTTTTTTGTCTTTTTTTCTCAACTATTTCCCGTTCATTATACTTTTCGGAAAGTGTCACCACCAGGAAAAATAATTAACTGGAACTCTTCGACAGTTAAGAGAGAGAGAGAGAGAGAGAGAGTCCAGTCAATTTTTTTTCCTTTCTTGAAAAATTGGCGTTCGCAACACTTTTTTAAAGTTGAGAACAAAAGTAGGTTGAAGTTTATCTTTTTTTTTTACACTATATAGCTTGCAAATTACACTTTCAGTTTAAATTCACACTCATTCGTGATATAAACTTTTTCTATTCAAACTCTACAAAATACAAATTAGTATTTAGAAATCCCCTCGCAAATGGATTTAGAAAAAAATAGTCAAAAATATTTTCAAATTATTTTGTTTGAATTTTTAATTACTATCGGAAATTAAATTTTTTTTTTTTTGTAATTATTGCGAATAAAAAAAATTTTTATTTTTCAGACTATATTTTGAACAAAAACGGTAAGTTATAAATATTCTATTTGGAAAAACTTAAAATTTCCTGGACAATATTTATTTATTTCTATTTTACGTATGATCTTAGATAGATAATAATTTATCGAGCGCTTTGAATACAATTTTCTTCTCAATAATATTTTAAATTATTTTCATTTTCTTTTATCCTTCCTAAAAATAATTGCAGTCGTTGTTGAGTGCTTGATAAAAAAGTTTTTATAAAATGAAAATTTTATACCAAAATTATTTTGTACAAAAAATGTTAAACAGCTTTTACGGAGAAATATTTTTCACGGGTCGCAAAAGTCACATTTTTTCTGTCACGGTAGCGAGAAAAGTGAGAAGAAAGAAAGAAGAGGGAAAATTAATAAAAAAGCAATATAATTTACAAAACTAGAATAAAAAATAAAAAAAAACTAAAAAAAAATCTTTATCTAATATTTTCAGCGCTGCTTTTCAACAATCTCTACTTATACTAAATGTTTCAATTAAAATTTAATTTAAATTTTAATTAATAGGATAATATCAGTCGAATGTACCACTTCCACTTAAATTTAAGTGAATTCTAAACCCAATATCAACTGCACAAATTGCCCCATAAGCAGTTTAAGCTTCAGTTAATTCTCAAGGGTGTTTCTATAATGTATCATAGTGAAATGTAATATTCTAGTTTACAGACTAGGCTCATTTTTACAAAGGAATAAAATTTTTTTTTCTTTCATTAAGTATTTTGTAAGTACTTGTAGTTTTCTGCCAAAAAAAAATTTTTTCTTCTTTTTCAGACTTCGCACTCGATAATTAATTTTAAAAAATTAGAAAATATTAGCTTTCCGACTAAAAAAAGTAGATATCAAAAAATTAAACTAGACGATTAAAAAAATCATAAAAATTTTTAAATAATTGATTAGTTTCGATTAATTTAATGCAAATTGTAATTTTAATAATTGAATTCCTGAGAAATTTTTATTATTCATGAAAAAAATAGAATTCTTACGAAGATTTTTAGAAAAAAATTTCTAAAAAATGGAATTCTGTTTGGAAATTTTATGAAAATAGTAGATAATAAAAATAATTGAATTGAGAAAATTTTCTAAAAATAATTAAATTTTACAAAGAATTCTATTAAAATTTTTTAAATAATTGAATTTCCAAGAAAAAATGTATTATTATTAAAAATAATTGAATTCTTATGATAAATATTGTTATTTATGAAAATAATTGAATTTTGCAAAGAATTTAATTGAAATTTCTCAAAATAATTCAATTTTCAAGAATATTTTTGTTATTTATCAAAATAATTGAATTCTTACGAAGAATTATTGAAGTAAATAATTGAATTCTTAGGAAGAATTTTATTAAAATCTAAAAGATTAATTGAATTATTTAAAACAAATTTAATTAAAATTGTATTTCTTTCGAACAATTTTATTAAAATATTTGAAAACAATTGACATCCTGTGAAAAATTCTAATATTTTTGTAAATAATTTAATTCTTCCAAAGTATTTAAAAATTTAAAGTTAAAAAATTTTTAAGAATAATTATATTTTTTGAGCAATTCCTGTAAAATTGTATTAAAAATAATTGAAATCCTGCGATGAATTTTATTATTTATGAAAATAATTGAATTTCTATGGAAAAATTTTTATATTTTTTGGAAAAATCGAATTCTTCGTAAAAATTTTATAAACATTGTTTTAAATAATTAATTTTTTCGAAATATTATTAATATTATGAAAATTTTACTTTAAATAATTCAATTACTTTGGAAAACTTTATTTGTGAAAATAATTGAATTCTTCGATTTGTTAATGAAAAATAGTATTAAAAATAATTGAAATTCTTCGATGAGTTTTATTATTTATGAAAATAATTGAATTCTTGCTTTGAATATTATCAAAAATTTTTTTTTTAAATTAAATTTCCTTGAAAAATGTTATTATTATTAAAAGTAATTGAATTATTGTTATTATATAAAAATTTTGTTAAATAATTGATTTTTCCGAAATTTTTTTGAAAATGCTATTTTAAATTAATCGAATACCTGTGGCAATTTTATTATTTATGAAAATAATTGAATTTTTGATGAATTTTATCGAATTCCTTTTTAAATGATTGAATTGTTTTGCGAAATTTTATGAAAATATGTACTAGATATTGAGAATAGAATTTCGAATATTTTTTGAAAATAATTGAATTGTTTTAAATAATTTAATTATAATTTTTGAGAATAATTTTTTTATTTCTAGTATTAGGGAATATAAAGTAAACTCTCAAAAAAAAATTGAAATTTGTAGCTTTTAGTGGCTGAAATCTAAATAGTAAATCGAAATAGTAGCATAACGTAAAAAAACTAAAAAAGTAGTAAATAGTAGGTTTTAGTAAATGAGTGCGAAGCCTGTCTTTAAACACGAAGGTAAACAAATATTTTTTACAGAAGAGTAGAAAAAAAAATTGCGGAAAATTTCTTATAGGGATCTATTAAAAGCATATAAGTATAGAAATGATAAATATGTAAAAGAGCACAATTATTCAGAATAAATTAGCGTTTTGAGAATCTCCTTGGTAAATTTAGTCACGGATCGTTTTCTGACCTTCCGCTTCGGTGAATTTATGAGAAGTCAAGACTCGGTTTTATCCCCGGGGGACGTCATTTGTTTGCTACAACGGTGCTTCCTTAATCTTTGTATAGTTATACGTATATATAAGTATATATACATATATGTCTTATATGTGAATAAATAAATTTATAATTTATTTATAAATAAGTATACTTAACAAATTATGATGTCCAGCAGCCGATACAATTTTTTATTTTTTGAAACGTTTTTAAATTTTTTTTTTCTTTTTTTTTTCTTTTTTAATAGCGAAACGGAGAAAATCGCGACTTTATATTTATGGGTGAATCATGAAGATACATGTATGTAGGGCAAAGGCAGACATAATTTTCGTGCTAAGCAACAGTACAGACGTTTACGCAGCTCTGATTACATCCTTGGCAAATGGTATCCTTCTGAACTTTAAATCGTTACCCTCAAGCGTATGCCCGTCAATCACTTGACATAATACACTGCGACCGCACACTGAGTTCAAGATTTTTCTTTTTACACATATACGCAACAAAATATTTATCATTTCACCTCAATTTCATTAAATCAACATAATTTTATCAAGGCAAAATTATCTTTATTAAAATTATCAAAAGAATGAAAAAATTGTCAATATTTTATTAAAAGAATGAAATAATTGACAATATTTTATCAAAAGAAAGAAAAAATTAAAAACATACCTATTATATTTTATAAAACAATGTTTTATCAAAAAAAAATAAAAGCAAAAAAAAGTAATTAAACAAAATAAATAAAGAGTTAAAATAGTTAAGGGGAGAGTTCGCCTAAATTTTTAACTGTATCAAAAAAATGATTTAAATCAGTGACTGATTTTTTGCTTTAGAATTCATAAATTTTACTAATAAGTAATAAATTAGTAGAAATTACTGTTTAAGAGTAAATTTTACTATTAAACTAGTAGAAATTACTATTTAATAGTAAATTTTACTAATTCAAAACCCAAAAGTTATTAGTTTAATTAATTTTCACCAATTTAATTAATTTTAAATTTGTGACTAACTTTTTGCTTTTGAATCAGTAAATTTTACTAATAAATTGGTAGAAATTACTATTTATTAATAAATTCTACTAACTAAAAACCAAAAAGGAACTAATTTAACAAATTTTTAAAATAAATTAACTAATTAAAATTAGTGACTGATTTTTTGTTTCGTATTAGTGAATTTTACTAATAAATTAGTAGAAATTACTATTTAATAGTAAATTTTAATAATTAAAAACCAAAAATTTATTAGTTTAATTAATTTTCACTAATTTAACTAATTTTAAATTAGTGACTAACGTGAAATAAATTTAAAATCAGAAATAATCATAATTTTCATATAGGCATTTCTCATATATACATAAAAGTAGAAAAGGAAGTAGAAAAGTAGAACAAAAAGTGGATAAGTGGAAAAGTACAAAAGAAATTATAAAACAAAGTAAAAAAGTAGAAAGGAAAGCAGAAAACTAGAACAGAATGTAGAAAAGTAGAAAAGAAAGTACAAAAGTAGAAAAGAAAGCAGAAAAGTGCAAAAGAAAGAAGAAAAGTAGATAAGAAAGTAGAAAAGAAAGAAAAAAAGTAGATTGGAAAGTAGAAAAGTACAAAAGAAAGAAGAAAAGTGGATAGGAAAGTAGAAAAGTACAAAAGAAAGAAGAAAAGTGGATAAGAAAGTAGAAAAGTACAAAATTAGAAAAGTAGAAAGTAGAAAAAGATTCTACAAAAAAAAGAAGAATAAACGGAAAAATAATAATTGACGAAAGGAAAATGAGTGCGCGCAAGGCGTTGGGAAAGACTTAAATGTTTTACAGCCGTTGACGAAAAAAAGGCTCTGGACTTTAGCGACACGATCTTGTTCTGGTAAAAGCTGAATCCATTATGGGTCCTTGTGCTCAGAGAAGAAAATGAGAGATGCAATTTCCATTTATATTACCTTACCGATATTCAGTTCTTCCACCAAGTTTTATCTCGTCCCTAGAATTTTTTTTCTCCCCATCCCCACCACCACCCCCCCTCCCTTACCTTCTCAACTACGCCTGACGTAATACAACGGTAAAGATGCACTTCGTCGTCCATCCTGCCTCGTCGCTGGCCTCGTACTCAATTTTATGCCCCCCAATACTGAAAGAGCGTCCTGGACTCTGCGGCAAGAAAAAAAAGAGAAGAAATTATAAACCTTAATCTTGTAAATTAAATTCACTTTTTAGAGGGCTCTTTTCTTATACGAATTTTCCAAAGAGAATGAATATTTTTCTTGTGTGCTGCATATTGAAATTATGGATTACAAAAGTGTAAGGGGGAAGCAAGAATAGTGCAGCTTTTGAGCAAAACCCCAATGGCAGGGAATATTCCCTTCACATTCCTCGAATATTCCAAAGGAATATTCGAGGAATGTCAAAGGAATATTATATTTTAGAAAATTTACATTTTAAGAAATATTTAAAAATCCGAACTTTGAGATATTCTTTTAGAATTCTGTATAAATATTCCATTGAAATATTGTAATATTCCTGGAATATTCTTTTCGAATCTTGTAATAATTATTCCGATGGCATATTCATTCAGTATTCCAAAGGAATATTTCTAAAATATAATATTCCCTTCACATTCCCTTAAATATTCCAAAGGAATATTCGAGTAATGGCAAAGGAATATTGTATTTTAGAAAATCCACATTTTTAAAAATATTAAAAAGTCCGAACTTTGTGATATTTTTTTTAATATTGTAATATTCCTGGAATATTCCTTTTGAATATGGTTAATATTAAAATCTCTTTGAGATATTCCTTTAGAATACTAAATAAATATTTCTTCGGAATACTGTAATATTCGTGGAATATTGCAATATTCTTGGAATATTCCTGAAATATTTAGTTGGAACATTGCAATACGGTTGGAACATTTCTTTAGAATATATTAAAATCTTTTTGAGATATTCCTTTAGAATACTGAATGAATATTCCATCAGAATAATGTAATATTCCTGGAATATTATTTTGCAAAATTCACATTTTAGGAATATAGTGAAATCTACTACATTTGCAATATTCGTTTGGCATATAATTAATGAATATTCCATTGAAAAATTGTAATTTGAATATAGTGGGAATATTTCATTGGAATATTATACGAATATTAGTTTTTAAATTTATAACTTTATCACTTCAAAATAAACTTATGAATTTATTCTCAAATTGTTCAAAAACTAATTAATATATCGTCAAGTACATATAATATTAAAAACATATTTTTACAAAATTCCAAACAAAATATTTTCACAACATTTTGATGGAATATTCCTACATTATTCCAAAAGAACATTCCAAAAATCGGACATGTTAATATTTTTGTATCAATATTAAAATATTCATTTTTATTATTCCAATTAATATTTTATTTTCCATGTAGATAAATATTTTCTAATATATTACGGAATATTCCTTTGACACTTTTGAAATATTTCTTCGAATCATTAGGAATAATATACTAAAAAAATATGCAATTTATATTTTTTAGAAATATTGAAATGTCCGACTTTTGGAATAATTTAGGAATATTCCATTGGAATACTACTTTAAAATTTCAAATTTATATGGAATATTTCTTTAATATTCTTTTGAAATTTCTATGAAATATTTTTTCAATATTCTTTTAAAATGCCTATGGAATATTTCTTTAATATTCTTTTGAAATTCTTCTTTAACATTTTGTATAGAATTTTCTATTAATATTCTTAAGGAATATTTCATTTAATTTTCTATGGAATATTTTTAAAATATTTTTCTGAAATACTCTTTTAAAATTTCACATATCTATGGAATATTTCTTTGATATTCCCTTCAATTTCTATAAAATATTTTTTCAATATTTCTTTAATATTCTTAACTTTAAAATTTGTATAGAATTTTCTATTAATGTTCTTAAGGAATATTTCTTTCAAATTTCTATGGAATATTTTTTTATATTTCTCTAAAATTTCTATGCAATTCTTTTCTTCAATATTCCTTTAAAATACCTATGGAATATTTCTTAAATATTCATACGGAATTCTCCTTTAAAATTCGTATAGAATTTTCCATTAATATTCATATGGAATATTTCTTTAATATTCTTCTAAAATTTCTTTGGAGTATTTCTTTAATGTTTCCCTAAAATTTCTATAGAATATTTCTTTAATATTTCGTTAAAATTCCTATGGAATATTTTTTAAACAATCTTCTGGAATATTCCTTTAAAATTTCACATTTCTATGGAATATTTCTTTAATATTCCTCTAAAATTTCTTTGGAATATTTTTTTAATATTCTTTTAAAATTCCTGGCAGAATATTTCTTTAACATTCCATTAAAATATTCCTTGATAATTCCAAACGAATATTCCAATGTTCGGGAATTTTAATATTTCATCTACAGCGTGGATGGAATATTCCTTTATAATTTTTCCAACACTTTAAAGTAATATTCCAGGAATTTGAATGAAACATTCCGTGCCATATTGAAAATAATTTAATAACTTTCAAAAAGTAAATGTTTTATCAAAAATATTTTTCTTTTAGCCAAAAAATATAAACTTTCGAAATAAGATAAAATTTCCAGTTTGCAAAATAATTTTACATCGAAAATAAGAGTGTAAAGAAAAAATATTTCCCTGATTAAAAACTCATTTACAAGTCCATTCATAATGGACTCTTTCTCTCAAACTCGAAGGTAAATTTCAATCACAAAGAAGGCTCAATTCCCAAATGAAGTTAAAATCAAAACAAAGAAGATCTTCTTTGGCACAAGTTTTATTTCTATAGGAAACTTTAAATTGAGAGAAAGAGAGAGAGAGAGACTACTATCCTCAGGGGAAAATTCACCCTTAACAGAAATGTTTTCAAACAATAAAGGTCGTGAAAATTCGGTTTTTTCTTCTTCTTCTTCTTCTTCTACTTCTTTTTTTCTCTGCTTCTATTTTTTTTATTGTTTTTATCATTGAAAATTGCGCGAATAACTAATCTCCGTTTTTTAACGTCCACTGTTTTCTTTCTATAGTCGTTACAAAAGTTTTTTGCAATTTTTTTTTTCTCCACTTCTCTTCTCTTTACTTTCTTTCTTTTTTTTTTTATTCTCGGTGCAAATTTCAGGCGAGTCTCTCGTTGCCTCATTGTTTTCGCACTCCCTTGTTCTCGCATATATACAATACCACTCGTGAATTCATTTCCAGAACAGTGATCGAGAAAAGCCATAACTTCCGGACGTGTTTCGACTTTCGGAAACCATTTAACAAACGAAAAAATAAAAAAAAAAAAAACGTTTGCGGATAAATTTTGTCTGCTTTGTGTGAATATATATGTAAAATTGATGAAAATTCATAAGGGTGTTTAGTTTCTCTCTCTCTCTCTCTCTCTCTGAAATTTTTGTTTCATGTGTCGAACATTCTGCTTACAATTCCATTTATACAGCGCGAGAGGTAAAGATAAACGGAATTCCGAGAAGGTTTGATATACATACATTGTTGCACGTCGCTCCCTGATTGCTGGAGAAACTTTCAGTCTTGGGAATTTACGAAACGGAAGCTCTTAATGGAAAAGGAGAAAGGGTAAAACGGAGAAAGAGAGAGAGAGAGAAAGCTTTCCTGTATAACTCGAGTCTAAGACAATATTTTTTATTTTTCAAAAAAAAAAATAATAAAAATAAAATCAGTTCTCAGATATTATGACTTTTTCGACTTTTTTCGACAATTTTCAAATAATGCAATTTTTTTCGACTTATTTTCAAAAATTACGACTTTTCGCCTTTTTTCCAAATGTTGCAACAAAATATCAAATTTTTAGTATAAAATGCCACTTTTATTTCGATTTTTATAATGTGAAAAATAACTATCGACAAATTTTGAAAAATTATATTTTTAAACAAATTTTTTTACGCTAATATAATTTTCAAAATAGGATAATTAAAAAATTTTAGAAGAATTGAAATTTTGTCAAATTTAATTGAAAATAATTTATTTTTTTAAGTATTTTATTTCAATTTTTGAAGAATTTTAATTTCAAATTTTTAAAATAAATAAATTCTCTAAAATTTTAATGTTTACAAAGATAATTGTAATTTTGAAGAGAATTTAAAAAAAATTGTTGACGATTATTGAATTTTGAAGAAAAGTTTATTATTTATAAAGAAAACGGAAATTTTGACTAGAATTTTAAAAAAATTTTGAAAATAATTGAATCACGGTAAAAAATGTTATTATTTTTGAAAATAATTGGATTTTGAAGAAGAATTTTTATTATTTACAAATATAATTGAAATTTTGACTAGAATTTTATTAATATTTTCTAAAATAATTGAATTTCAAAGAAGAATTTTGTTATTTGTAAAAATAACTGATTTTTTTGGACTAGAATTTAAAATAAATTTTGATAATAATTGAATTTTTGGAAAGAATTTTCTTACTTTTGAAAATAATTGACTTTCTGCGAAGAAAGTTATTAATTTCGAAAATAATTGAATTCTTGCCATGAATATTGTTATTTTTGTAAATAATTGAATTTTTGTTTTTAAATAATTGATTTAGAGATAAAATTTAGTTAAAAATTGTAGAAAATAATTGAATGTTTGAAGGACAATAGTTGTAATTTTTAGAAAGTATTTAGAAGAATTTTATTATTTATAAACGTAATTGAAATTTTAAACGAGAAATTTAAAAAAAATTTTAAACAGAATTGAATTTTTGCGAAGAATTTTATTTCTTTTGAAAATAATTGAATTCTTGTGATTCTATTGTTTATGAAAATAATTGAATTTTGTCGAAGAATTTTGCTATTAATTTATAAAGATAATTGAAATGTTAACGACCATTTTTTTATTTTTTGAAAATAATTGAATTTTTGCGAAGAATTTTATTAATTTTGAAAATAATTAAATTCTTGCGATAAATATTGTTATTTTTGAAAATAATTGAAATTTTGATAAGAATTTTATTAAAATTTTTGGAAATAATTGAATTCCAGAGAAGAATTTTATTATTTATAAAGATAATTGTAATTTTGAAGAGAATTTAAAAAAAATTTTGAACGTAATTGAATTTCTGCGAAGAATTTAATTACTTTTTAAAATAATTGAATTTTTGTTTTTTAATAATTGATTCATAAATGAAATTTAGTTAAAAATTGTAGAAAATAATTGAATTTTGTACGGACTATAGTTGTAATTTTTAGAAAGTATTCAGAAGATTATAAATTGAAATTTAAAAAATTGTATTTCTTGTAGAAAATTTTTTTAAAATATTAAAGCTTGAAAATAGTACACTGTCTTTTAAGAAGAAGTTTCATATAAAAAATAAATTATTGAAAATGAAAAATTTAATTTAGCGAATGTACAAAAAGTCATATTTCTCGTTATATAAATGTGTAATAATGTGAATGAAAGAAAAAATATGAGATTATAAATTAATGAAATTTCCTTATAGCCGAGTTATTTTCTCTATAATAGAGAAAAACTTTTCTTCATTACTAAAGGAGATGATATTATTTAAAACTGCTTTAGAAGTAATGCTTGAATGAAAGCAGAATTTATTCAGACAGAAAGAAAAATGAGCAATGAGAATAAAAATCCTGTTCTTCCTTAATTAAGTATTATGCTCGCTGTAGATAGCATTTTTACATTGCACTTTTAACTTCAAAAAAAAATTTTTTTTCATTTTTAAAAAGTTTTTTGCAAGTTCAGCGAATAGATAATGTGCTTTAAATGAAAAAAAAAGTTTATTGTGTGTGCTATTTTTTTTCGGTTCCTTCTTTCATTTTCCTCTTTTCTATTTTGTTCTATTCTGCGGTTTTGATATTTTCTTTATTAATTGCTATTCTATTTTGTACTCTTTTCTCTTTTCTACACTACTTCCTATTCTTTTCTACACTGCTTTCTATTCTTTTCTAATTTATTATTTTCTATTCTTTTCTATTATTTATTCTTATTATTCTGTTTCTTCTTTTATTTTTTTTTATTTTCTTTAATTTTTTCTACTTCTACTCTTTTCACAATTAATTTATTCTTCACTATTCTTTTCAATTCCTTTTCATTGTTTTCTATTCTTTCTCTATTCTAAACCTTTATTTTCTATTTCTTTTCTATTCTAAACTTTTGTTTTCAATTATTTTCTGTTTCTTTTCTTTCTTAAACTTTTTTATTCTTTTTTATTCAATTTTTTTTATTCTCTTTATTCTTTTTTATTCTTTTTGTTTTTTCAATTCTTTTTTATTATTTTTTATTATTTTCTATTATTTTCTATTATTTTCTATTATTTTCTATTATTTTCTATTATTTTCTATTATTTCCTATTATTTTCTATTATTTTCTATTATTTTCTATTTCATACTTTCGTATTTTCTTTATTATTTCTATTTTTAATATTCTTCTTTTACTTTTTTTATTCTTTTCTATTCTTTTTTATTTTCTTTACTTTTTCTACTTTTACTTCTTTCAGAATTTGTTTATTTTCTTCTATTGTTTCGATTCTCTTTAATTATTTTCTACTCTTTTTATTTTGAAATTTTTTTTTCAATTATTATAACAAATTTTTCAGTATAATTACTAATTAGCAACAAGTTTTACTACTTACCTCATTACTGTGAATTTTCATGACCTTGACGTTGTCCGTGAAAATTGGCTCCTCCCAAGAAACAGCTGAACCATTTTTCCCTGAAACTTCAATATCACTTGGACAATTTTTCACTTTTGGTGCTTCGCCATCTGGAAAAGAAAAAAAAAGAAAAGAAAATAAATTTCAAATTTCAAATTTTTTTATTCGCTTTTTGATTCACACAATATTGTGTGATTGTGTGAACAGTTAATTAGAATACGTGGGGTGCAATATGGCAATGCTAGCAATGCAGTGCGAATGGTTTTGGGAAATAAGCATTCGGATAATTTCGTCTCTAAAATCGGTGTCCTGTTCTTGGCAAAATTGTGGTTTTCCCTTGGCAGTGATATAATTAAACGTATTTAATTAAATCAAGTCACATATTCGTCATATATACACATACGTACTACATATATAGATAAAGTGTTGAATAGTCTTTGAGAAGTGCGAAAATGGTTTTCCATCCCCCCGACAGCTATACATTAGTTTACTTCCCGAAATCATCACCGCAACATACTTGATAAACATTTATTGCCATTTGAATAAAAATTATTTAAAAGACAAATTGCAAAATATATTTTATTTCATATTTTTTTTAAAATATTTTTTATACTTTATTTTATATTTTTTTTTAAAATAGTTTTTATATTTTATTTTATATTATACTATTATTGTTTATTAGAAAAAAACCTTCTTTTTCAATAAAGTATTATTAGAAAAAAAAACTCTCCATTCTTTTAACTAATTGGGAAAAAGAAAAAATTCTTTTTTCAGAACAAATTTTATACAAAATAATTAAAAAAATACAGTTCTTTCAAATTTTTTCCACATACAATTTTTTTGTTTGTTATTATTAATAAAAAAAGGTTTTATTGTTGAATAGTCGAATAGAATTGTTTAATCAACACCACGTTCATTCTGTATTGAAACATTTTTACTTTTGAGATGAAAAATCATTTTTATTTGCAAGTTTCTATAGTGCATAGTTTTTTTTAACAAGCTGAATTTTAATTAAAAATCATATTGTTATATTTTTTAGGTTTCTCAATTAAATTACAAAAAGACAAAATTTGTGAACAATTTATATATTTCGTACGCCTCTATTCTATTTGAAAATTAAATCCGAATTATTTAATTTGTATAACAATAATTATATTGAATTTCATGAATTAATTAAAATATGTAAATACAAAAGTTGGGATCAATTTATAAAACTTGGTACGTCTCTATTCGTATGAAAAAAATTAAATCCTAATAATATTTGAGCTTGAAAAAAAAGATAATTTAAAAAAAAATTATTCGATAATAAAAAATATTTTTTTTGAAATGTACTTGGAGCTTTTATTATAATTTAGTACAATTTATAAAAATTTGTACTTTTATTCTTCAAATTTATTTGTTAAATAAATAGTTCCAATTTTAAAAGTAATAGCGAGATTAAATTCAATTTTATTTTTTTAGAACGAAATAAATTTTGAAACTAAATTGATATGCAATTGTTGATGAAATTAATAATTTATGGACTAACTTGTGACGGTGATTCGTAAAGTGCAGCTGGTTTGTTTCTTTGAGACAGGATGCCGAGCATAGAATGTGACTTCATGAACACCCAATTTTAGATTAGCTTCCAGTCTGGTGCCCCAAGTTGGCTTAGAACGAACATATCGAAACCAATCTAAATCCGTTGATGGTTGATCGAACGTCACAAATGCTTCATCTCGACCCGGCGATAGTTCAGCAGTAACATCTGCTGGACAATCTAAACGTGGCTTACTATATCCTGAAAAAAAATAAAAATAACACCTTTTTTCCATTTTAAAATTTATTCAAAATCATCTCCAAGAATTTTAATATCTTTTAAAACAAGTTTTTTGGCATTTTTTTAAGTAGGTCAAGTCAGTAGGAGTCAGACATTTTTTTTAAATTTTAGTAATTTTAATCTTAGCAGTACTATAGATAGTAGTCATTTTTTTAAATTATGTTTGCAAAAAAGAATTACAGGCCTCGGATAATATTATGACTTTTTCGACTTTATTAGTTTATTTTGACTATTTTTAAAAAATGCGACTTTTTTCGATTTATTCTAAAAAATTACGATTATTATTATAATTATTTCTTTATTTTTATTATTATTTCAACTTTTTTCCAAATGTTGCAACAAAATACCACATTTTTAGTATAAAATGCAACTTATTTCAATTTTTATAATGTGGAAAATAACTATAGACAAATTTTTCAAAATTATATTTTTAAATAATTTTTTTACGATAATAAAATTTTATAAAAATATACGTATAATTAAAAACTTTCAGAATAATTGAAATTTTGTAAACTTTAATTGACAAAAGTTTTTTTTTTTAAGTATCTTATTATAATTTTTGAAAATCAACTTTTAAAGTAGAATTTTAATTGCTTTAAAATAATTAAATTCTCAAAAATTTTAATGAAAAATCATAAAGTGTAAATTTTAAAATGAAAACTAATAAAAAATTTCTTCTGAAAATTATATAAAAATATTTTAGAAAAAAGAAATTCTTAGAATTTGACATTTCTAATTTTTTCAATTTTAAAATATTTAAAATATTAATATTTTAAAATTATTTTCACTTACATATTTCAAAAAATTCAAATACACACAAAAAATAATAACATTACAATTGTTTAGAATTATTTTCAACATTTTGGAGAACACCATTATGTTCAAAAGTTTTAATTAAAATTCTTCATGAAAATTTATTAGTTTTCTATAACTTACAGAAATTCTTTTATGAAATTCAATTATTTTCAAATAATTACGGCTCAATATTTTTAAGAAACTTATTCTTAGAAATGTTTTATCGTTATTTTTTAACAATCAATTATCTTCTAAGAAAGTAAATTAAAATTCTTAAAAATTTAATTTTTCAGACCTAATAAAATTTTGGAAAAAATATGTTTATATTATTTTATAATTAAAATTCTTTAAAAGTTGTATTATTTATTGTAGTTTTCAAAAATTCTTTTACTTTAAAAATATTTATTAAATTTCAATTATTTTTAATAGATTTTATCAAATTTTAAATATTATTATTATTAGATTTTATCAAATTTCAATTATTTGGAAATTTTGTAATTGTACATTTAATTAAAACACTATTATCTTTTGAAAATTATATTAAAATATGTTTAAAAAATTAATTTTAAGAAATTTTTTATTACAATTTTTTGAATATATTACATATACGTAAATAACTGTTTAAAATAAACATTTATTATAAAAAATTGAATTTTTGTTTTTAAATAATTGATTTACAGATGAAATTTAGTTAAAAATTTTAGAAAATAAATAAATTTTGGAAGGACAATAGTTGTAATTTTTAGAAAGTATTCAGAAGAATTTTATTATTTATAAATGTAATTGAAATTTTTAATGACAATTTTGTTGAATTTTTTAACAGAATTGAATTTTTGCGAAAAATTTTATTTCTTTTGAAAATAATTGAATTCTTTTGATGAATACAATATTTTATAAAAATAATTGAATTTTATCGAAGATTTTTGCTATTCATTTATAAAGATAATTGAAATGTAGACGACCATTTTTTTTAATTTTTGAAAATATTTGAATTTTTGCGAAGAATGTTATTAATTTTGAAAATAATTGAATTCTTGCTAGGAATATTGTTATTTTTTAAAAATAATTAAAATTTTGCTAAGAATGTTATTACTTTTGAAAATAATTGAATTTTTTGATTTTTAATAATTGATTCACATATGAAATTTAGTTAAAAATTGTGGAAAATAATTGAATTTTGGAAAGACGGTAGTTCCAATTTCTAGAAAGTAATCAGAAGAATTTTATTATTTATAAACGTAATTGAAATTTTTAACGAGAATTTTTTAAAATTTTTTAACAGAATTGAATTTTTGTAAAGAATTTTATTACTTTTTTTTGAAAGTAATTGAAAATAATTGAAATCCGGAGATGAATTTTAATATTTATAAAAATAATTGTAATTTTGAAGAGAATTTAAAGAAATTTTTGATTATAAGAAGTATTTAAATTTTTATTTAACAAAATTATTCAAGTTTTTAATTTGTAATTATTGTACAAGTAGTTCAAGTCAATACAGGTCAGACAAAAATGAATAAATTCTAACATTAATGCCGAAATTAGTAGAGAGGATTTTTGAATTTTTAACTATCATTGATAAAAGACAAGTGCAGTCAGCCGGATATTTAATTTTTATGATTTTTCCAGAAGTAGTCTAAGCCAGTATCAGTCAGACAAAAGTTTTAATATTTTTACATTAATAGTCAGTTTTAGTTGTCAAAATTGTGTATTTTAGTACCGTTAGTAGAAAAAGTGTATGTAGTCAGACAGTTTGAAAAAATTTCTGACTCCTAGACAAGTAGTTCAAGTCTTTGTTAGTCAGACAAGAATTTAAAGGTTTCAACCTTAATGACTAAAATACGTAAACCGAATTTTTGTTTTTTCTTGGTATAAGTGACAAAAAAAAATTGCAATTGCCAGGATGTTTAATTATTGAGATCCCAACAAGTAGTTCAAGTCAATATTAGTCAGACAAAATTTTAAGTGTTCTATCATTATTGGTCGAAAGTAATAAACAGAATATTGGTTTTTTTTGCTATCGGTGACAAAAGACAACTACAATCAATATATTTTTCTATCGCGATTTTCGTACAAGTAGTTCAAGTCAGTATTAGTCAGACAAAACTTTAGAACTTTTAATATTAATGATCGAAATTAGTATTTACTTTTTGTATATTTTGGAATCAGTAGTAAAAACAAATCTAGTCAGACAGATTTTTAGTTTTTTTTGATACGGATAAGTAGTTCAAGTCTTTATTAGTCAGACAAGAATTTGGAGTGTTCAGCATTACTGAGCGAAAAAGTAGCTAGAATTTTGGTCTTTTTTTGTTATCAGTGATAAAAGACAATTGCAGTCAGCCATGATATTTAATTATTATTGTACAAGTCGATTATTCTACAAGTGTATTTTCGTACAAGTAGTTCAAGTCAATATTAGTCAGACAAAAGTTTTAAAGTTCTCACCTCAATGGACGAAATTAGTAGACAGAATTTTTTTGGTATTAGTGATAAAAGACAATTGTAGTCAGCCAGGATATTTAATTATTATACAAGTGTATTTTTGTCATTGTCAAGTCAATGTTAGTCAGGCAACAATTTAAAAGTTCTAACATCAATAATCAAAATTAGCAGACAGGATTTTTGTATTTTTTTTTTGTATCAGTGATAGAAGTCAGGTATAGTCAGACAGGATATTTAATTGTTATGATTATTTCACAAGTAGTTCAAGTCAATATTAGTCAGTCTAGACTCTCAATCCGCCTAAGTTGAATTCAAATCGTAAAAGTTAGATATACTTTCTGAATATTTTACTTTTTGGTACTAGTAGTAAAAGACAGCACTAGTCAGACATTTCTTGTAATTTCGATACGTTAAATTTGTTATAAATCCAACTTTACATGATTCGTGTCATTAAAATAAGTAGTAAAAGTCAATTGCAGTCAAACATTCGATTTGTCATTATTTCCTATCAGTAGAAATAGTCAGAAATAGTCAGACCGATTTTTTTCCCTTTCTCAAAATTATACTTACTGACACATTCACCATGTTTTGGACCATCCCAAGTGCCATTAGGTCGACAGGTCAATTCATATTCCCCATGAAGTTGATAGCCAGCGGGACATTTTAGAAAACATTTAGTTCCTGGTGGATTGATGTTTCTCTGCTTGTCTTTCCACGATTTTGAGGACGCCGTCAGGGAGCACATCAAGTACCCATGCCCGGCGGGATTTAAAGGTGGGCACGAGTAAAAGCTGATATCTATTTTTTTGTCGAGAAAATCGAAAAAAAATATTTTATATTTACGAAAAAAATACCATAATAATTAACAATTTCTCTCAGTCTCTAGAATTATGCCTCAAGAAGCAACTATGCTCTTTGAAAATGACAATTTTGGATTTAATTTATTGGAAGTGTATGGGATTGTAGCCGAATTGATGACATGCAATAGTTTCACAATGTGCATATCGGATTATGTTTACTGGTGGATACTACATTTGCAAGCATATCACAATATTTGCATAATACGCCTATGAATCAAGAATATTAATGCCGGTCAACATGTATCAGCGACTTGTTCATAAACTTCTCATGATAAATAGAATTTTGACTTTATGAATGCTTATTTTTTTCTGGATGTAAATTCTTTGCATTATTCAATTTTCCAGTGAAAATACAGCGAAAAAAAGTTTGTTCTAAAATTGAGAATATGTACTTTGAACATACTTTAGAATATTTTATACTTAAATTTAGTACATACTATCCTTAAAATAAGAATTTTTATAGTATTAATTACTAAATATTAAAAATATTTCTTAATTAAAGGATTTAACTAAATACAGGGTTGCCACAAAAATTTAGATTTGTTTTTTTTCTGACTTTTTCCTGATTTCCGAAAACATTTTTGATTTCTTCGTTGACCTAACAAATATTCTGATTCACTCTAAAAATTATTAGAAACTCGAAAAAAATTTCTATTACATTTATTTACGAATTTCTATAATTCTATTCTTGTAAAAGTAGATGTAGTCAGTTAAAAAGTTCATAATATTTTTAACCATTTCAAAAAGCTTGTAACTTTTGTTCTAAGTAGTGCAAGTAAATTTAAGTCAGACGAAACGTTATAGAAAAAAAAATTTAAAAATAATTCAATTTCAGCAAAAAATTTTGATGTTTATAAGATAAAAAATGCAATTCTCATAAATAATAATAAAAAAATTCAATTACACTTTCTCAAAAGAATGAATTCCACAGAATTATTAGTTAAATGTATGAAAAATTCAAATTATCAAAAATTTTAAATTGAACCCCTTTCAAAATTCAATTATTTCTAAAAATTCAAGCTATAGGCCTTTTAATATTCAATTATAATAATCTAAAATTTTAAGTAAAATTAATTTTTTAATTAATTTTTATTAGATAATTATACGAGAATTTAATTATTTAAATACAAAAATAAATCATTTTTTAAATAATTGGATTTTTCTCAAAATTGAATTTTCTAAAGAATTTTATCAACAAATTTTTAAATACTTGAATTCTTTCGACGAATTTTAAAAAAATTTTATGATCAATTACATTTTTCAAGGAATTTTATTAAAATTGTGCTAAAAATAATTGAAACCTTGTGAAAAATTTGTTATTTATAAAAATAATTAAATTATTGCAAAAAAAAAATTTATAAAAAATATGGAAATAATTGAATTCCAGTGAGTATTCCTGTGAAATTTTTTATAATTTATGAAAGTAATTAAAAATTTGTGTACTTCTTTATCAAAAATAAAATAAAATAATAAATAAATAAATAAATAAATAAATAAAATAAAATAAAATAAAATTTTTTTAAATAATGGGATTTTTAGTGAAAATTATATTCATATACAGACTAAATATTCAAAATCATTTAATTTAGGAAACGTTTTTAAAATAATTGAAATTTTACCAAGAATTTTATTAATTTTTTAGAAGAATTTTTCTTCTCCAAAATTCAATTATTTTCAAAAATTATAATAAATTCATCTTAGAATTTCAATTATTTTCAATACAATTTTAATCGAATTCCTCGTAAAAAGTAATTATTCTTAAAAATCTTATTAAAATTCGTCAAAACAAATCAATTATTTAAAAATTTGTCGATAACATTCAATTATTTCCAAACATAATAAAATTCTTCACAAAAATTCAATTATATTCAAAAATTAACTAAATTCAAGACAAAAATTCAATTATATTTATAAATAATAAAATTCTTCTCAAAAATCCAATTTTTTGCCAAAATTTTAATACAATTCTTAGCAAAATTTCAATTATTTCAAAAAATAACAATATTTATTACAAGAATTTAATTATTTTCAAAATTAATAACAATCTTCGCAAAAATTTAATTATTTTCCAAAATTTTTCAAAATTTTAAACAAACTTTCAATTATATTTATAAACAATAAAATTCTTCTCATAAATTCAATTATTTGCCAAAATTTTAATACAATTCTTTTAAAAATTTTAATTATTTTTAATAATTTTTCTAAATTCAATAATTTTTCTATTTTCTATTATTTATTTATTATTCGATTAAAATTGTGTTGAAAATAATTGAAACTTTGTGTAGAATTTTATCAAAATTTTTTTTATATAATGGATTTTTTTTGGAAAATTTTATTAACATAGTAAATATTAAAAATCGCAAACATTCAATTCTGTTCAAAAATTTTAAAAAATTCTCGTTAAAAATTCTAATTACGTTTATAAATAATAAAATTCTTTGCAAAATTTTAATTATTTTCAAAAATTTTACTGAATTTAATGATTTTCAATATTTATTTATTATTTATAAATATAATTGAAATTTTGATATAATTTTTTTGAACTTTTGAAAATAATTGAATTTTATTGCCAAATTTTTAAATAATTTAATTCTTTTGATGAATTTTAATAACATTTTAAAGAATAATTACATTTTTCAAGGAATTCGATTCAAATTGAATTAAAAATAATTGAATTCCTTATAGAAGATTTTTATTATTTTTGAAAATAATTGAATTTTGATGAAGAATTTTATTATTTATAAATAGAATAGAAATTTTGACTAGAATTTCATTAATATTTTTTAAAAAAATTGAATTTCGAAGAATAATTTTATTATTCATTAAGATAATTGAAATTTTGATCAGAATTTTATTGATATTTTAGAAAATAATTGAATTTCGAAGAGGAATTTTATTTATTTATAAAGATAATTAAAATTTTACCAGAATTTTTAGAAAACTTTTGAAAATAATTAAATTTCTGCAAATATTTGTAACTTCTCTAAAATTGAATTTTTAAAAAGAAATTATTGTCAATTATAGAAAAAGTTGAAGGTTTTGTCTTTGGATTCGTGATAATTTCATAGTTTACGAAGAAAACGAAAAATACACAAAAGTTCAGAATTTTTTTAATGAATTTCTAAAAATTAAATTTTTTCCAGTACTTTTAATAAAAATCCCTAATTTTTTCCTGCGATTTTCTTAACATGCCTGATCTGTGGCAACCCTGAATTAGTACTAAAGTAGATTTGAAATAATTTTTCAGGTTGTTCAAATAAAAAGAATATAAAAAATAATGAAAATTTCCAAAAAATAATTTTCAAAAACTGTTCCAATAACAATAACTATAATCGTGAACGAAAATCAATAATTTCCAAATTACATAATGATAAAGTGACTTTGAAACTTGAATATTTTGAGAGCGTGAAATATATATTACCACTGCAGGATTTTCCATCTGAAGACAAAATTCTCTCATCGCCATCACAGGCGCAGAAGAAACTGCCAGCAGTATTCTCGCACACTTCATTGCACCCACCATTGCCTTTGGCGCACTCGTTTATGTCTTGAACAGAGCAAAGTGGGTTGTAAAATATGAGATAACTAGAATCACCGTAGAGATGCATAAGTTCCTCTATATTGGCAGAAGCCTTTTGCAGTTTTTATTCAGAATTCACTTATACAATGTAAGTAATAATCAAAAGTCGAACGAATTCAATATCAAGTAGAACATTTTTTTTTCTCTTACCCCCATTGGAAAATTATTTCCAATAAATACAATTTCAAACTCTTTTCACTCCTTGTTTTCACTCAACATCAATTTTTCAACATTCAAGCAATTTCAATTTAAATACCTCTCATTTTTCTCTCATCTTTCCTTCTTAAAATATCAATTTTCAATTTTCAACATTAAAAATTTAAACTGATTCTCGAATATTAAAAAATTACATCAATAAAAAATTGTGCTTTTGAATTAAAAATTAAAAATTCGAATAAATATTAAAACTGACTTTTAGAGAATTAAAAGAAGTTTAATAAAAGAAAATTTCTATATTAAATGAAATATATTAAAATAACTCGAGTTATTGTACTTTTTCAATTAATTTATTTAATTATCATCCTGCTTTATTAAAAGTTCAAGTCTGGAAATAAATTGTCAAAAGGTAAATAAAATATAATGATGAAAAAAATTCTTTTGAAGTGAAATTTTCAGTGCTCTTTGAAAGTACCGAACAAAATATAGAATATATTCAAAGAAATATTTATAGCCATTCATATTGATTTATAGTTTATAAAGTTAATATGGTAAACATAACGTGCAAATATTTGCCATATAGACTGTAATTACTGCCCGGTAAATTGGATGAAAACGATGAAAGTCGAGAGAATAATTCTTGATTACTTGCTCCGAAAAGGCTCGACTATATAAATAATGCGCTTTTTAAAACTGTAATGCTTTTTTTACGCACTGGATTTTTTTTTCTTTTACTTCAAAATATACGGACTTTGGCTAATTCTAGATTGTTTACGATCATCGTTATATAGATGACATCTACTAAAAAAATAATTTTCGAAAAAATAAATAATATGCGACAATTAACGTATTACTTGTCTATTATTAAATAAATATTTATTTTCGTATCAAACAATTTTTATTTGTCGATTCAATGCTTTAAGTTTAAATACTAAAATTATTGATTTAATAAAAATTTATTTGATATAAATAAACAATTTTCGTTTAATTCAAATTTCAAACATATTTATTTCCAGTTGGCTATTTATTTTTGGATTAAAAAAAAATTTTTCTCAGTGAGAATTCTGGTGAGAAATTTTATTAATTAATTAATAAAGTGAAATTTAGGCTCCGCAGTCATTTATTAAAACCTACTATTTACTACTTTTTTACGATTAGCTTCTTTTTTCTTTTTTTTTGTGAAAATTTGCACTAATTTAAATCTGCTAAGAGTTGAAATAAAAAAATTATTCTTAAAAATTTTCATAAAATTCTTCTTAGAAACAATTCAAACATTTTTTTATAAAATTCTTTGAAACAATTCAATTATTTTTAGAAATAACTAAATTTTTTACAGGAATTCAATTATTTAAAAAAACTTTCCTCAATTCAATTATTTTTAATATCTACTGTTTTAATAAAATTTTCAAAAAGAATTCAATTATTTATAAAAAATTTAAATAAAATTCTACGCAAACATTTAATTATTTTCATAAACAATAAGACTTTCACAGGAATTCAATTATTTACAAATTTTTCATAAATTTCTTCTCAAAAATTCAATTATATTCATAAATAATAAAAATTTTTACAGGGATTTAATTATTTTCATAAATAATAAAAATCATCAAAGAATTTAAACTAATTTCTGTATAATTTTTATTAAATTATTCTAAATAATTGAATTATTCTTTTAATTTTTCATAAAATTATTTTAAAAAATTCTACTATTTACAAAAATTGTAATAAAATCCTTCGCAAGAATTTAATTATTTTCATAAATAATAAAATTCTTCACATGATTTCAATTATTTCAAATACAATTTTAAATACATTGATCGAAAATTGTAATTATAAATTTTCCAAAATTTTGTTAAAATTCTTCGAAAGAAATCAATTATTTTCAAAATTTTTTCGAAAATCTTTTGCAATAATTCAATTATTTTTACAAATAATGAAATTCCTCGCTGAAATTCAATTATTTTTAATAAATTTTAATAAAAATCTATTTAATAATTAAACTATTTTCCATGCAATTTTAATTAAATTTGTCGAAAAAATTTTCAAGAATTCATTTTTTTTTAAATTTTAAGAAATTCTTCGAAAGAATTTAATTATTTTCATTACAATTTTAATTCAATTCTTTAAAATAAAAATTAAAATTCTTTGATAAATAATTTTTCAAAAATTTTCACAAAATTCTTCAAAACAATTTAATTATTTTCAAAATTTTTAATAAAATTCTACGAAAAAATTAAATTATTTCAGTTTCAAAAATTACAAAAAGTTACACAAAAGATTACAAAAGGAAATGTAAAAATTTCAAATTCAATTGTGTGAAATATCATTATCAAAAAAAATTTTCGATAGAAATCAATTCAATTATTTTTTATAAATAATAAAATCGGTTGCAGGAATTCAATTATTTTTTATTAATAAAATTCGTTGCAAGAATTCAATTATTTTTTATAAATAATAAAATTCGTTGCTAGAATTCAATTATTTTTATAAATAACACAATTTTTTACAGAATTGAATTATTTTTATAAATAATAAAATTTTTTATAGAATTTTAATTATTTTCATAAATAATAAAATTCGTTGCTAGAATTCAATTATTTCTATAAAATATAATATTTTTTACAAAATTTCAATTATTTTAAAATTTTTAAATCCAGTTTGAAATGAATTACTTGAAAAATGTAATTATTTGCAAAAGTTTTATTAATATTCTTCGAAAGAAATAAATTTGTCTTTTGAAAAATTTTAATATTATTTTTTTGGAATATAGTTAAATTCTTGTAAAAATTAAAAATATTTATTTAAATTTCCAATCAATGGAAAATTTTTGCAAATTTAATGAAAGTAAATTTTATGTTTCAAAAAAATTACTTTTCTTACTTTAAAAAATTATTTTCGAAATATAATCGAATTTTTTGAAGAATTCTAAAATTTTCAAAATTTCTAACTAAAAGTTTGGAAAATAAATAGAAAAATTTAGAATTGAAGTTATTACCAGAAAAAAATTTTTTTTTTTATGAAATTCAGAAAAATGTCAAGAAAATACAGAATGAAATTTTTGTGAAGTTTGTGAATCGTCTAAAACAAGTTTTTTTGTTGACAAATTTAATTTTTCGATAGTAGTTACGTTTTTACTACTTTTTACAGTCTTAATGCTACTTTCCGCTGTTTTTTTTTCATTTTTTTCAGTCAGTTCAAATAATTGGTACTTTTTTCAGTCTTAAAGTTACTTTTTGCTACTTTTTAACTTTTTAAAAATAAATTATTGAGTGCGAAGCCTAGAAGTGAATTATTCACGCTTGTTACGTTAATTAAAAAGTAATTAAAAAAATATTTGAAATTTTTAAGAAATTGCTAATTATTTTAAAATTTCTCTTATTATGGAAAATAAAAAAAAACTGATTTATTGCGAAAAAAAAGGGTGAATTGGGGTGTTTAGAATTTTTGGAGAAGCTATTGAGAGAAGCAGTGCCATATGGGAGTTAATTCGATTTAGTACTTAGATTGCGGCACGGAGGCTGTGAGGGGTCGAAGTTGAAATCTCGTTAGGACGCTCATCTCCCATGGGAGGGGTTGTTATCAGAGAGTATCGGTTAGTCATTTCGTACAAACCACGAATAAACTTTGCTAACTGACCATGGTGATTTTCTAGGTGAAGATGAATTATCTTCTATTCCCAGTTTACATTTTGCTTTAACTGAATTATTATATAATGATCTAATTCTGTCAATGAAGCTCGTTAAGGCAATTTTCATTAGCACTTGAGTTTGCTTAATAACTACACACACATTTCAATTAATAAATATTAATTGATATAGTCGATATTTTCGCGGTGTAAGTTTAATTATAAAAGTTTCTTTATTATTAATTATATTTATTTTTTAATCTCAAGTATTAACGGTGTTTGTTTTTTTTTTTTTTTTTTTTTTTTTTTGTGAAAATAAAAGCAGCTTTAATGAAAGAAAGCTCTTGCAAATCCTCTTTGGTGTTTAAGATTTAAGCTACTTTGAAAGCCATTGTTCGCGCGGTGGATAATTCATCCTTGTGGAGAGTTTTAACTTATACTTAAATTTCAAGAGGAAGCGACTCAATCAGCAATAAATCGCTCTCTCAACGTTTGGGGAAATGCACACTTTTCTGATAACTGTCGAAAAACTTTCGCGGAACTTTAATTCAGGCCGACAGTCAGTTATCGATTCAAAATTTCCGCCAGATTGCATTTTTTTATTAAGTGATTAATCCCTGCTTCTCTATTCGTTTCAGTTCACCAATAAATTTTAATCTTACGCAAATACCATTTTTTCTGCTTCTAATCATTATTATTATAATTATAATCATTTTAATTAAAATTATTTTCATTTTAATTTTAATTTTAATTATTTTAATTATAATCACAGTAAAACGTGAGGTATTAAAACAACACCAGAATGGACTAAAATAATCTGCAACAGTTTAATCAATTGTGTTCAAAAATTTTTAAAAAATTCCCGTAAAAATTGCAATTATTTATGAAAATAATAAAATTCTTCTTTGATATTCAATTATTTTACAAAATTTTAATCAAATTCTTGTCAAAATTTCAATTTATTTTCAAAAGTTTTCTAAAATTCAATAATTTTTAATATCTACTATTTCAATCAAATTTTTTTAAAGAATTCCATTATTAAAAAAAATTTGAATACAATTCTACGCAAACATTCAATTATTTTCATAAATAATAAAAATAGGTATTTAAAGGAATTCAATTATTTACAAATTTCTTCGCAATAATTCAATTATTTTCATTAATAATAACATTTTTGCAGGGATTCAATTATTTTGATAAATAATAAAATTCTTTTAGAAATTCAATTATTTTCGTAAATAATAAAATTCTTTTAGGAATTCAATTATTTTCATAAATAATAAAACTCATTGCAGAATTACAATTTTTTTTAATGCAATTTTAATCGAATTCCTCAAAAAATGTAATTATTCTTAAAAATTTTATTAAAATTCGTCCAAAGAATTTAATGATTTAAAAAATTTGTTGATAACTTTTTTTATGAGAATTTAATTTCAAGAAAAATGAAATTAATAAATTATTTACTTTTTTTATTTAAATAATTGAATTCTCGTAGAATTTACTAATATAAATGGTTTTAAAAATGAATTTTAGTTGATATTTAAATATTAAATATTAATGCATTATAACGTGGATTTTTAGAAATAATTAAATTTTGAAAAAGTTTCAAATTAAAATCATTAAAATTCTTAATTTTTCATATTTTTGACAAATAATTCTGTAGAATTAATTCTTTGTAAAAGTTTATTAGAATTTTTATTATTATTATTTTTAAAAATAATTAAATTCTTGTGATGAATATTGTTATTTATAAAAATAATTGAATTTTGAAAAGAATTTTATTAAAAGACATCAAAATAATATAATTTTTGGGAAAAATTTTGTTATTTATCGACATAATTGTTTCTTTCAAAGAATTATTTATGTAAATTGAATTCTTGGAAAGAATTTTATGGAAATCTAAAAGAATAATTAAATTATTTCAAAAAAATTTGATTAAAACTGTATTTAAACTTTAAAATAATTGATTTCTTTCAAACAATTTTATTAAAATATTTGAAAATAATTGAATTCCTGCGAAAAATTCTAATATTTTTGTAAATAATTGAATTCCTGTGAAATTTTTATTATTTTTTTATTTATTATTTTATTACTCTTACTTTTGAAAATAATAGAATTCCTTAAAAGAATTTTATTATAGGGGAACATAGTCTAGGTCGGCCACCTTTTTGACTTTTGTTTATAACTTTTTTTTAAAAATGAATTTGGACAATTGAAGTATATGGTTGGAAAGTCCTGTTTAATAGGAACATTTTTTCTGTACAAAGTAAATTGACAGGTTTAAAAATGAAAAAGTTATAAAGATTTAAAAAAAAAAAAATTTGTAGTCCAGGTTGGCCATTACAGTCAAGGTCGGCCATGTTTAAAATTCAAAGGGCATTAATCGTTAAAAAATAAAATAACATGTTTGGAGTTACGGAAAATTGATTCTTTATTGTTTACAGTTTGTAACTTAATGAAATAACAAAATAATAACAATAAACAATATAAAAAAATAAATATAAATAAAAAAAAGTTTTGCACTAAAATATTAATAAAATTAAATAAAAATATTAATAAGATGATCAATTATATTATGAGTTATACAGAATTGCAGTTTTTGCAAATGAAGTAGCTCGTCCTCAACTTTGCGCATTTTAAACACATAGTGGCCGACCTTGACAGTAAGTAACATTACCGAATTGTTGTAACCATAAAGAAATACGTTTCGGGATTCGATTTTTTACTTTGTTTTCCTTTCAACCATGAGTCCCACAAATTTTCTGCATACTTGCCTTGACGATTCAATTTGTTTTTTATCTTTTATTAATGGTTTTTCACATTATGCACAAAACTTTTTTTGAGCTTTTTTTGTACCGACGTCACAGAAAACACAATTTTCGATTTTCCGAAAATGTAATTGAACAAAAAGTTAGGTTTCACTAAGACAAGCTTCGACAAAAATGCGCGTAGGTGGCGCTAGTGAACTTGACAAAAAAACGCGAGTGGCCTACCTAGACAGTAGGCCAACCTTGACTACATTCCCCTATTTGTATTGTAAATAAATTAAATTCCTGTGAAATTTTTATTATTTTTGCGCAGAATTTCATCAAATTTTTATTAAATATTTGAATTCTTTTGAAAAATTTTATTAAAATAGTAGATATTAAAAAAAAATTGTATTTTAGAGAAGAATTTTTTTATTTATAAATATAATTGAAATTTTGACCAGAATTTAAAAAAATTTTTAAACACAATTGAATTTTTTGTGAAGAATTTTATTACTTTATAAAATAATTGAATTTTTTGTAAAGAATTTTATTACCTTATAAAATAATTGAATTTTATCGACAATATTTTAAGAATAATTTAAAAATTGAATTTTGAGAAATATTCAATTATTCAATAAATTATTTACTTTTGCATTTAAATAATTAAATTCTTGTAGAATTTTCTAATAAAAATTGATTTTTATTTCATAAAAATGAATTTCAGTTAAAATTTTACATTAAATTTCCATAGAACTTTTTCGAAAATTATTAAAAATAATATTGATATAAAGTAAAATTGTAGTTAAAAATTTTTAAAAATAATAATTGAATTGAAATGATGAAAATAATTTTGAAGAAGTATAAAATTCTTATAATATAATATAATAATGTTATTACTATTGGTCATCTTTAATTATTATAAAATATGAAGAAATCGATGATTTCGAGTCGAAGACTCGGAGTTATCGATATCTTCATGTTTTATAGTTGTAAAAAAATGTAATGAACTAAAATTTCATTCATTGTAAAAAATAACATCAAAATTAGTTATTTTAATCTTTTTTGGTGTTAATTTATAATCTGCAACACTTTTCAATACCTCACGATTTACTGTGATCATTTTAATTTGATTAACAACATGAAAATTTGATTAATAGGAAAATTTTAATTATTTGTAATTTTCCTTATTTCGAATTTTACGCATTTTCATTTTTCAATAAGAGAAAAAGTCAAAAATTGACTGTTTATGTATAAAATTATAATAAACGGAAATTTGAATTCCACTGTGACTTACCAAGACAGGAGCCATCGTTTGAAAGTTCATAACCGGGTAGACAACTATTTGGCAAGTCTACAGCAATAGGTTGATCTTTCAGTTCCTGGGGTTCAGCGCAACGATAAGATCCAGGTGTGTTGATGCATCCGTAATGGCAAACTTCCGTTTGAAGGTCTGGCACTGCACATTCGTTCACATCTGCGACAAACATTAACTTTCCAACTACATATATTCAGAATTTCGCCAAACTTTTACTAACTTCTCTGCATAATAATTATATGTATCAAATGTGCTGGGGAAAATTTCAGAAATATGAATATGTTGAATTAGACCAAATGGACAAGTTTACACGGATGTTTATTATTATTATTCACAAAATGGATAGAATTTCATCCATTAGAAATTTTCCCTGTGATTACTACCAATTTTATTACAGAATAAAAAATAAAAATGATTAGAATTATAGAAAAAATAAACCTCAATGCCCTTTTTCCCAAATTTTAATTGTCTGACGAACTGGTACTACTTAAAAGTTCCAACAAAAATTTTCTAATCCTTCAGGATTTTACTCAGAAAATAACAATTAAATAAAAATAAATAAAAATAAATAAAATAATAATAATAATAATAATAATAATAATAATAATAATAATAATAATAATAATAATAATAATAATAATAACAAAAAAATAATAATAATAAAATAATAATAATAATAATTAAATAACAATTCATGTCATTTTCAGCAAATAAAAAATTATTAGAATTAGAGAAAATAAATTCAGACTACTCGATAATTTTTTTTTCACTCGATAATTAATTTTAAAAAAGTAGCAAAAAGTAGCTTTTAAAATTTAAACTTAAAAGAATTAGCTATGAAAAAATTAAACTTGATGACCAAAAAAACTCGTTTTAGAAACTTCAACAAAACTGACAAAAATTCGATTCTATATTTTATTTTACTAACTTTCTCCTAATTTTCATAAAAAATATTTACTTCTCTCTTATCCTGATAATAAATTGAATTCCTACAAAGAATTTTATTATTCATGAGAGAATTTAAATATTTATAAAAATTAATTATTAATTTTTATTATTTATGAAAAGAATTAAATTTTTACGAAGATTATACAAAAATTTTTTTAAATAATTAAATACTGTTTGAAAATTTTATGAAAATAGTAGAAATTGGAAAATCATTAAATTGCGAAAAGCTTTTTAAAATAATTAAATTTTACAAAGAATTCTATTAAAATGTTTGTAAATAATTGAATGTCTGTATGATATTTTATTCAATTTTTTTTTTTAAATAATTGAATTCCTAAAAAGCATTTTATTATTTATGAAAATAATTGAATTCTTGCGAACGATTTTCTTAGAATTTTTAAAAATAATTGAATTTCCAAGAAAAAATGTATTACTTTTAAAAATAATTGAATTCTTGTGATAAATATTGTTATTTATGAAAATAATTGAATTTTGCAAAGAATTTTACTAAAAGGCCTCAAAATAATTAAATTTTCGGGAATAAGTTTGTTATTTATCTTTAATAATTGAATTCTTTCGAAGAATTATTTATGTAAATTGAATTCTTGGGAAAAATTTTATGGAAATCTAAAAGAATAATTGAATTATTTCAAAAAAATTCATGTGAAATTTGTATTATTTTTTTATTTATTATTTCATTATTCTTACCTTTAAAAATAGTTAAATTCCTTAAAAGAATTTTATTACATTTGTAAATAATTAAATTCCTGTGAAATTTTTATCATTTATGAAAATAATTAAATGTTTGCGCAGAATTATATCAATTTTTTTTTTTAAATACTTGAATTCTTTTGGAAAATTTTATTAAAATAGTAGATTCGATTAAAAATCATCGAATTTAGGAAAATTTTTGAAAATAATTGGAATTTTATTTAAATTTTTGAAAATAATTGAATAACAGAGAAGAATTTTTTTTATTTATAAATATAATTGAAATTTTGACTAGATTTTAAAAAAAATTTTTGAATATAATTGAATTTTTTGTGAAGAATTTTATTACTTTATAAAATAATTGAATTTTATCGACAATGTTTTAAATAATTGAATTCTTTTGACGAATTTTAATAAAATTTTTAACAATAATTACACTTTTCAAGGAATTCAATTTAAATTGTATTAAAAATAATTGAAATTCTGCGATGAGTTTTATTATTTATGAAAATAATTGAATTCCTTAAAAGAATGTTATTATTTGTGAAAATAATTGAATCACTGTAAAAAGTTTTATTATTTTTGAAAATAATTGAATTTTGAAGAAGAATTTTATTGTTTATAAATATAATTGAAATTTTGACTAGAATTTTATTAATTTTTTTACAAATAATTTAATTTCAAAGAATAATTTTTTTATTTATAAAGATAATTGAAATGTTGATTAGAATTTTAGAAAATTTGTGAAAATAACGGAATTTTTTGATTAATTAATTTAAAATAGTAGGTATTAAAAATAATTGAAATTCTTCGATGAGTTTTATTATTTATGAAAATAATTGAATTCTGGCTAAGAATTTTATCAACAATTTTTTTAAAAAATTGAATTTTCTTGAAAAATGTTATTATTAGTGAAAGTAATTGAATTATTATGAAGATGGAAGAACTGTATAAAAATTTTGATGAATAATTGATTTTTTCGAAATTTCTTTGAAAATATTATTGAATTCCTAAAAAGAATTTTAATATTTATGAAAATAATTAAATTATTGCGGAAAATTTTATTAAAATGTTTAAAAAGAATGGAATTTCTATGAAGAATTTTGTTATTTTTGAACATAATTGAATTTTGACAAAAAATTTTAAAAAACCCAAAAAATAATTAAATTTTCAGGAATAATTTTTGTTATTTATCTTTAATAATTGAATTCATTTGAAGAATTATTTGTGTAAATAATTGAATTGTTGGGAAGAATTTTAGGAAAATCCAAAAGAATAATTGAATTATTACCAAAAAATTTAATGAAAATTGTATTTAAAATAATTGACTTCTTTCGAACAATTTTATTAAAACATTTAAAAATAATTGAATTCCTGTGAAATTCTTATTATTTATCAAAATAATTAAATATTTGCGTAGAATATTATTTAAATTTTTTAAGAAATAATTGAATTATTTTTGTAAAATTTATTAAAACAGTAGATATTGAAGATCATTGAACTGAGGAAAATTTTTCAAATAATTGAAATTTTGCCAACCATTTTATGAAAAATTGAGAAAATAATTGAATTCTTTCGAAGAATTTTAATAAAATTTGTAAAAATACTTCAATTGTTTCGAAGAATTTATTGAAAATAGTATTAAAAATAATTGAAATCATGAGAAGAATTTTATTATATTTAAGAAAATTAATGAATTCTTGCAACGAATTTTATAAATTTTTTTAAATAATTAAATCCCTGTGAAAAATTTTGTTATTTATAAAAATTAATTAAATTGTTGCAAAGGATTTTATTAAAGTCTTTGTAAATAATTCAATTTTTGAGAAAAATTTCATTATTTTTTTTTAAATAATTGAATTCTTTTGAGAAATTTTAATAAAATAGTAGATTTTAAAAATAGATATTTTAAAAATATTTGAAATGTCTCGAAGAATTTTCTTATTTGTAAAAATAATTGTCTTGCGAAGGATTTTTTTTAAAAATTTTGTTGCAATTTCGTGGTCAGTTTCCAGTTTCTTTCTTTTTTTTTAAATTTTGCTTTGAAGTATTTTTTTATAATTATATTCTTTCACCACAATTTAGACAGTTTTTTTTTACCTTGACAAGTTTTCCAGTCGTCCTCGAGCATGAAACCATCTGGACACAAACAGAAGACCCGTCCCATTGTTGAAATGCACGTATGCGAACATCCAGCGTTACGGATACTGCATGGACCGGCATCGTGGCACGTATGGTTGTCGTCGGTGGATAAAATTGTTCCCGGAAGTCCTTCGCAGGAGCACTCATAACCGCCGACAAGATTATGACACGTATCCTGGCATGGACCGTGTCCCTCGTTTGTAACACATTCGTTGATATCTGGCGATCGAAATAAATTTCCCCAATTCCCCCAATAAATCTCCTTATATCCATCTACATCCACTAGAGTCCATTTTTTTATAAAAAAATATATCATCCTAACTGTGCTTAATGGTGCCGTTAAGGAAAAAAACTTTTTCTCTACTCTCAGTTATTGAAGAATTTTGAAGAATCTTTTTAATTCTAAAACAAAAAATTGTACAGTCCTTTAATTATTCTTTTAGTTAGAAAGAATTCTTTTCTTAGAAAAGAAACTGCACTCTAATTTAGAAAAAAAAGAGTTTTTTATGTGATATAAATTCTAAAGCACATCCATTGCGCACGATTGATATTTCGACTCAAAATTATATTTTATAACTTTCTCAAAGTATCCGCGAAAGCATTGGAATTAAATTCTCATCACGTATTTGTATTTCGTGTTTCATAATCAGTATTCCCTGATGAAATGGAAGTTTTGTGAAATAAAGAAAAGAAGATTTTATAGAATTTAGTTTTTGGAAAATTTGAAAAATCAAAAAATTGCAAATTTGAAAAAAAAATTATTATAATATGTACTATTTTGATGATATTTGAAGAAAATTCCAAGACATGAACCCATAGTTTTTTTTGACATGAATAAGAAATATTATTTTATGACTAGAAGAATGGCTTATATCAAGTTGAAGTGGTACTTACCTTTACAAGTGTATTTATCTTCTCCTAGCGTCATCCCCTCGGGACATTCACAACGATACGACCCTTCTGTATTTTCGCATTTGAATTCACAATTTCCGTTGTCCTCTTCACATTCATTAATATCTGTACAAAAAAAAGTTCAATTTTTATTTTTTTTAATAATTTTCCCCTTTTAAAGAAGAAAATTTTTCTATTGCGCAAAAAATTATAAATTTATGTTTATGATAATAATTCAATGCTTGTGAACGATTTTATAAGAATTTTTTAAAGTAATTGAATTTTCAAGAAGAAATTTATTATTTTCAAAAATAATTGAATTCTTGTCATGAATATTCTTATTTATGAAAATAATTTAATTTTAATTTTTCACAGGAATTTTAAGAAATAATTGAATATTTGAAAAGGTTTCATATTAAAATCTTTGGAAATAATTGAATTTCGGCGAAGAATTTTAATATTTTTAAAGATAATTGAAATTTTGATAAGAATTTTTTTTAATTTTTGAAGAAAATTGAATTTTTGCGAAAAATTTGATTACTTTTGAAAATAATTGAATTTCTGCATTCATTTGTAATTTCTCTAAAATTTTCCAAATTAAATCGTACAATTTACGAACTTAATAAAATTCTTTGCAAGAAATTGAATTCTTCCAAAGAATTTAAAACAACATTTTTTTAAATAGTAATTGATTTTTTTCGAGGAATCGAAATTCAGTTTTTAAGAATAATTACATTTTTTGAGTTTTATTATTAAGGAAAATAATTGAATTCCTGTAAAAATTTATTATTTATGAAAATAATTGAATTATTGCGTAAAAATTGGTAAATAATGGAATTCTTGTGAAAATTTTATTATTTTTTTATTTATTATTTTATTATTCTTAGGTACTTTTGAAAATAATTTAACTTTATCAACAAATTTTCTTATAATTAAATTCATTTGACGAATTTTAATAAAGTTTTTCAGAATAATTACATTTTTCAAGGAATTCCATTAAAATTGAATTAAAATGAAAATAATAATAATCACTGTAAAAAAATTTATTATTTTTGAAAATAATTGAATTTCGAAGAAGAATTTTTTTATTTATAAAGATAATTGAAATTTTGACTAGAATTTTAAAAAAATTTGGAAAATAATTGAATTTCTGCAAACATTTGTAACTTCTCTAAAATTTAATTTTTAATTGAATAATTACAAAGAATTTTATTAAAATTTTCAAAAATAATTGAATTCCTGCGAAAAATTCTAATAAATTTGAAAATAATTGAATTCCGGCGAAAAATTCTAATAATAATAAAAAAATTTCTGTGAATTCCTGTGAAATTTTTATTATTTTTTTATTTATTATTGTATTATTTTTACTTTTGAGAATAATTAAATTCTTTAAAAGAATTTTATTATTTTTGTAAATAATTAAATTCCTGTAAAATTCTTATTATTTATGAAAATAATTAAATGTTTGATCAGAATTTTATCAAACTTTTTTGAAATAATTTAATTCTTTTGGAAAATTTTATTATAATAGAAAATATTGAAAATAATTGGATTTCAGAGAAGAATTTGTTTATTTTTAAATATAATTTAAATTTTGACTAAAATTTAAAAAAATTTTTGAACATAATTGAATTGTTTGCAAAGAATTTTATTACTTTTGAAAATAATTGAATTTTATCGACAAAGTTTTAAATAATTGAATTCTTTTGACGAATTTTAATAAAATTTTTCAAAATAATTACATTTTTCAAGGAATATGATTAAAATTGAATTAAAACTAATTGAAAGTTTGTGATGAGTTTTATTTTATTTATGAAAATACTTGAATTCCTTAAAAGTATTTTTTTTTGTAAAAATAATTGAATCACTGTAAAAATTTTTATTATTTTTGAAAATAATTATTGAATTTCGAAGAAAAATTTTATTATTTATAAATTTAATTAAAATTTTAACTAAAATGTTATTATTTATAAAGATAATTGAAATTTTTGACAAGCATATTTAAAAATTGTTCTTAATAATTGAATTTTGGAGAAGAATTTTACTATTTATAAATATAATGGAAATTTTGACTGGAATTTAAAAAAAATTTTGAACATAATTGGATTTTTTACGAAGAATTTTATTATTTTTGAAAAAAAATTGAATCTTATCGACAAATTTTTAAATAATTGAATTTAGGGAAAGATTTAGGGAATAAAATTTTTCTATTGCGCAGAAAATTGTAAATAAGAAAAAAAATAATTTAACGACCAATTTTGTAAAATGAAATTTTGGGAAACTGAGAAATTTAAAAAAATGAAATTTTGAGAATATTTTTCTGAAATTTGAGAAAAATTGTTACCTTTGCATTTTTTGCCTTCTGATTTGAATCCCTCTCTGCAAAAACATTCAGCCTCCGAGTTGATTTCCTTGCAAAATTGCTCGCAGTGAGATTGAGCGCACAGTCCGTCAAAATTTTGCCTGACCTTGCACTTTGGCTCTTGACCGACCCATCGACGATTTTTGCAGAGTAATCTACTTACGTTCCAAGCCATATAAAATCCAGGAGTACATTCATAGTCAGCTTCAAGGTACTCATGTCCTGGGATCGAAGATCTTTTCCCGAAAAAAGAAAAAATTTCCGTCGAATGAAATAAAATCAGGTATTTTCAATTTCGTTTTCTTATTCATTATCTTCGTTTTTTTCTTCATTATACGATTTTTATGTTTGAAGATAAATTCAGGCTTCGCACTCAATAATTTATTTTTTAAAAGCAACGAATTTTATTATTTTTCAAAAAATATTTGAATTCCTGCAACGGATTTTATTATTTATTAAAAATAATTAAATTCCTGGAATGGATTTTATTATTTATAAAAAATAATTAAATCGATTTCTTTCAAAAAAATTTCTTGAAAATTTTATTCCACACAATTGAATTTGAAACCTTTTGAAATTTTTATATTTCTTTTTGTAATCTTTGTGGAACTTTTTTTTATAATTTTTGAAACTGAAATAATTTAATTCTTTCGTAGAATTTTATTAAAATTTTTTGAAAATAATTAAATTGTTTTGAAGAATTTTGTAAAAATGTTTGAAAAATTATTTTTCAAAGAGTTTTAATTTTTTAATTTTTATTTCAAAGAATTGAATTAAAATTGTAATGAAAATTTTTTCCCCCTTAGTGTGAAACTGTGTTAATTTATTGAAATCATAAGGTGTGAATTCGGTCCGTTATATATTGGAACTTAATTTGAAAGATATGGATGGAAATTATCGCAGTGCACACGATTAAATTCCAGGCGAAGATTCAACCAAACTTTGGGCGGAGTTGAAGTTTTGCAAAACTTTTCAAATGGTAAAACTTGAAAATCAAGATTCTTATAGTTCCAACAATAAGATTCTGTGGCTTACGGTGAATTATTGTGAAAAACAAATTGTCATAGGGAAAGGGACATTAAAAAGGTAATTAAAGAATCAGGTCAGAAATTCGAAATCGATAAGAAGGCTTTTATTTGAGTTTTGGGATTAACTCCACAGTCCGGATGCAATGTGGGCGATAAATTTTGGCATTACATTCGAAATTTATTAGACGATGAGGCTTTTATTAGGCGTAAGAGAGAAATGGTTATAGAATAAAATAAACTTTATAGAGAAAGAATAGTGAAATTAATTGGGGAAAAAAAAATAAATCGCTCAGTAGGAAATATTTCTTTGTAACATTGGAAAAATTGACTTTTTGCAGGCTTCATACTCAATAATAAAATTTTGAAAAGTAGCAAAAAGTAGTTTTAAAATTGAAAAAAGTAGTAAAAAAAAAGTAGGTGTCGAAAAATTAAACTTGACTCGTTTTAGTCAATTCACAAAAATTACCAAAATTTGATTCTGTATTTCGGTGACATTTTCCTAATTTCCATAAAAAATATCCACTTTCCTTCTAATCCTGGAATTTCAATTCTAAATGTTTATAAAATTGAATTATTTTCTAAACTTTTAGTTAGAATTCTTCAAAACATCGATTATATTTAAAAAATACTGTTTAAAAGTAAAAAAAAAATTTTTTTAAATATAAAACTTGTATTAATTAAATTTCAAATAAATTCAAATTAATTGGAAACGTAAATAAATATTTTTAATTTTTACGAGAATTTAACTGAAATTTTAATTAAAATTTTTCAAAAGACTAATTTTCTTTATAATTTCTAAACTAAACTATTCATGAATAATTTTTGTTTAATGAAAATTTATAAAAACTGACTTATTCTTCGACAGAAATTAAAAATTTTTAATAATTTTTGTGTAAAAACTTTTTAAAATTTATCTATATCTATAAAAATTCACTCTATAATGTTTTTAATATTCAATTATAATCTAAAATTGTAACTGAAATTCATATTTTTTTTTCTATTAGAAAGTTCTACAAGAATTAAATTTTAAATCAAATCTTTTTAAAAAGTTTTACAAAAATTAAATTATTAAAATCCAAAAATAAATAATTCATGCAATAATTGATTATTTTTTAAAATTGAATACTTTTACAGAATTTTATCAAAATTTTTGAAAATAATTGATTTCTTTCGAAGAATTTTAACAAAATTTTGGAAAATACACAATTACATTTTTCGAGCAATTTATTTGAAATTGTATTTAAAATAATTGAAATCCTGTAAAGAATTTTATTATTTATGAAAATAATTGAATTCTTGCGAAGGATTTTATTGAAATTTTTAAAAATAATTGAATTTTTTTTTAATCATTCTATGAAAATTTAAAAGAATAATTCAATTATTTCGAATAATTTAATAAAAATTGTATTAAAAATAATTGAAATTCTGCGATGAGTTTTATTATTTCTGAAAATAATGGAATTCCTAAAAAGAATTTTATTATTTATTAAAATAATTGAATCCCTGTAAAAATTTTATTTATGAATAGAATTGAATTATTGCGAAGAAATTTATGAAAAATTTGTAAATAATTGAATTCCTGTAAAATTCATATTATTTATGAAAATAATTAAATTATTACGTAGATTTTTATTTGATTTTTTTATAAATAATTGAATTCTGTTAAGAGATTTTATGAAAACAGTAGATATTGAAAATCATTAAATTGCAAAAAGTTTTTAAAAATAATTAAATTTTACAAAGAATTCTATTAAAATTTTTGATAACAATTGAATGTCTGTGTGGTATTTTATTAAATTTTTTTGAAAATATTTGAATTCCTGAAAAGCATTTTATTATTTACGAAAATAATTGAATTCTTGCGAACGATTTCATTAGAATTTTTTTAAATAATTGAATTTCCAAGAAATAATGTATTACTTTAAACATAATTAAATTTTTCTGATGAATATCGTTATTTATGAAAATAATTAAATTTTGTAAACAATTTTATTAAAATGCCTCAAATTAATTGAATTTTCGGGAATAATTTTGTTCCTAAAATAATTGAATTCTTTCGAAGAATTATATATAAAAATATTTGAATTTCTGTGAAATTTTTATTATTTTTTTATTTCTTATTTTATTATTCTTACTTTTGAAAATAATTGAACTTTATCAACAAATTTTTAAAGAATTAAATTCATTTGACAAATTTTAATAAAGTTATTTAGAATAATTACATTTTTCAAGGAATTCCATTAAAATTGAATTAAAAATAATTGAAATTTTGCGATGAGTATTATTTTATTTATAAAAATAATTCAATTCTTAAGATGAGTTTTATAATTGTTGAAAATAATTGAATCACTGTAAAAATATTTATTATTTTTGAAAATAATTGAATTTTGAAGAAGAATTTTATTATTTATAAATATAATTGAAATTTTGATGAGAATTTTATTAATATTTATTAAAAATAATTGAAATTTTGACTGGAATTTAAAAAATTTTTTGGAAAATAATTGAATTTCTGCAATCATTTGTAACTTCTCTAAAATTTAATTTTTAATTGAATAGTTACAAAAAACTTTATTAACATTTTCAAAAATATTTGGATTCATGAGAAGAATTTTTAATAAAATTTTTGAAAGTAATTCAATTCTATCGAAGAATTCATTTAAAATAGATATATAATTGAAATCATGAGAAGAATTTTATTGTTTATGAAAATAATTGAATTTTTGCAACGAATTTTATAATTTTTTTTAAATAATTGAATATTTTGAAAAATTTTGTTATTTGTAAAAATAATTGAATTGTTCCAAAGGATTTTATTAAAATCTTTGTAATAATTGAATTTTTTCGACAAATTTAATTAATTTTTTTTTTAAATAATTGAATTCTTTTGAGAAATTTTAATAAAATTGTAGATTTTAAAAATATTTAAAATGTAACGAAGAATTTTATTATTTATAAAAATATTTGAATTCTTGCAAAAAATTTTTCGAAAAAGTTTGAAAATAATTGAATTGTTTCAAAGAATTTTATAAAAAATTTCTGAAAAAAAAAATATTCTTAATTTAAGAATAGAAGTGGGGAACATCCTTGGCACCTATTTTAGTACCTATATATTCTAAAATTAAGAATATTTTTTTTCATTGTAGATGAGTGCGAAGCGTGACTTTGATTTTCTAAGTCAAAAGTCAAAATCGAATCGAAATTTCTCATAGTGATAAAAAAGAAAGTCGAAAAGATCTTGAAGTTTAAGAAAATAAATAAATATATGTATATATTTTTTTTAAAAAATTAAAATTCGTACAGCTTTGTGAAAAATACTCACTTGACGTATTTGATCAACGCGTGCGAAACTAGAGGAGCAGGTAGAAACGTTCCATTAATACAGGACAAATCGCCATTGATTTCTTCATCGTTCGCCTCCTCGAATGAACTTTCGTCCTCGTCTGTCGGATTTTCCGACTCTTTTCCACCCGTCAATTCATTACCGTCAGCCATGATTGGCTGCTTCCGGTAGCTAGTCAATTTCCCAGCCAATAAGTTCGAGGCTATATAAGCGTTGTAATCCTGCATCGTTCTTTCGAGAACTTCTTTCTCCATTTCCAAAATTGGCAAATCCTCCTCAGTTCTCGAATAGCCCAACATACTTTGCACATCAAATCGAGGACTTTCATAACCACTTGGCTTTGGAACGCGATATTGCGCTTCAATTTGCCGTTGATCGTTGAGCATTTTTATTTCATTATTCAATGTCTCGGGATATTCACTTTTCTTCAGTGACAATAATTTATCGTCACTGTATGTTTCAAGATATGGAAGATTCTCCAATTTTGACTTGGAAATTTCTCTCTCGAGATATTTGGAAAATTCCTTTTCAACTGTACCGTCGCTGGTGTCGCTATTGCGATAATGCTTTGTTGGCTCTAGTGGAAGTGGAGTTCTTGCTTCGGTTGTCAGTTGCACTTGAACGTTCGATGTTGTTGATGTTTGATTATGAAGGGGAATCTGAGAAAAATTTTACAGGAAATATTTTTCAGTGGAATTCTAAATTTAATTGCTAATTAATTATGTAATTGGCCAGAGGTGTAATTTTTGTAGGGTTTCTTTTTGTTTGGTTAGAAATCGGGTGTTTTTAGTACAGTGACGCCTCCACCACCGGCGAGTGGCGCTGTCCTTACATTTTATTTCTTACTTTATTTCTTTATTTTTATTTAAAATAATAAAAATAATGGATTTTTCTCAATAATATCACACTAAAATTATAAATCCAAACAAAATTACTACATCACAATATACTTTTTATTTCTTTTTATCGTTTTTGGGAACGAATTTCTAATTTCGATAATATATTGGTACAATAAATCCGTTATTATTTTTCTCTTTAAATAGGTTCAATTTTAAAATTAATATATTAAAAATCATTGAAATGAATCGTAAATAAGAATTTTGTCAAAAAAAAAAAAAAATTGGAAAATAATTGAATTCCTTCGCAGAATTTTACTATTTATGAAAATAATCGAATTCTCAAGAAAAATTTAATTAAAATTTTAAAAAATCCTAATTTTAAATTGTTTTGAAGAATTTCTTTGAATTTTTTTTAAATAATAAAATTTATAGTATAAAAATAAAAGTTTCCTTAATAATTTTAAAAGTAATTGAATTTTATGTAGAATTTATTTCAGGATTTTTAAAATAATCGTGTTGCTTAATAATTGAAATTATGAAATTAAACATTATTTAATTATTCAATTTTATGAAAATTTTTAGAATATAACTAAATTCTTTTCAAATTTTTATAACAATTTTCCACAATTTTCTGAAATAATTTAATTCATTTAAGGAACTTTATTAAAATATAGAAAATAATTAAATTCTTTAAAAAAATTTTCTTAATTTATTGAAAATAATCAGTTTTCTTAATAATTGTGATTAATAATTTTACTAGTGTATTAAAATTTTTTATTAAAATTATTGATAGAAAATAAAAATTTTTTAAAATAATTTTATTAGAGTTTTTGTAAATAATTAAATTCTGTTGAAAACTTTTCTTTGTGAATTTTTTTTAAATAATTTACTTTTTTGAATAATTTTAATTGAAAATTTTGAAAAAATTAAATTAAACAAAGCATTTTTTCAACTCTTTAAAATAATCATGTCTGCGTTAATAGTTAATAATTATAACAAAATATTTGATTTTTGAAGATTATTAAAATTGTACCTATTGAAAATAGTTGAATTCCTTGGGAGAATTTTATTATTTATAAAAAATTATGTAATTTTTGCGATGAATTTTACTTGGAAAGGATTTCTTGACAAGAAATGTATAAAATTTTTGAAAATAATTGAATTTTGTTAAGAATTATATTAAAATTTTTCAAAATAATAAAATTGTTTTAAAGAATTATATGGAAATTTTTGAAAATAATTGAATTTTGTTAAAAAACTCTATTATTTTTAGGATAATTGAAATGTTTATGATAATTGAAATTTTTTTTTTGAAAATAATTGAATTTCTATAAAGAATTTTATTACTTTTGAAAGTAATTAAATTTTTGTGATAAATTTTGAATTTTACAAAGAATTTTATTAAAATTCTTTAAACTAATTTAATTTTTGGGAAGTATTTTGATAATATTTAACAAAATAGTTGAATTTTTAAAAATAATTGCGTTAAAATTTTTGAAATATAATATTATTAATATATTCATAAATTTTGCAATTAATTTTACTTCGAAAGGATTTCTTGACAAGAATTTGTTTCAAGTTTTTGAAATAAAATTGAAATTCTGTAAAAAATTCAATTATTTATGAAAAAAATTGAACTCCCGACAAAAATTTGATTCAAATTTTTGAAAATAATTGAAATCCTCCGAAGAATTTGGTTATTATTGAAAATAAATGAAATCTTAAGAACAATTTTATTCTTTATGAAAATAATTGAATTCTTGCAAAGAATTTATTTAAATTTTTTTTTTGAAAATAATTGAATTCGAGCAAAGAATTTTATTAAAATTTTTTTTTGAAAATAATTGAAATCCTCTGAACAATTTTATTATTTAAGAAACTAATTGAAATCTTCAAAAGAATTTAACTTTATTTTTATGAAGATAATTAAATTTTTTAGGGAGAATTTTATTAAAATTTTTGAATATAAATTGAAATTTTTTTGGAAAATTTTATTATTCATGAAAATAATTAAAAGCTTGCAAAGATTTTTATTGAAATTCTTGTAAAAAATAATATAATTGTTTTAATAAAAATTTAAATTCTTTGGAGGAATTTAATTAATATTTTATTGAAAAAATTGTATTTTTAGGAAGAATTTTATTAAAATTTTAGAAAAAAATTGAATTCTTTTGTGAAACATTATTTCAATTTTGTTAAATATAATTGAATTTTTGCAAAATATTTTTTATAATTTCTAAAAATAATTGAATTCTCCAAAAGAATGTTTTTAATTATGAAGATAATTGAATTCTTGCGAAAAATTTTGTAAAAAAATTTTCTTGAATTTTTGGGATGAATTTGTTTCAAATTTTTAAAAATAATTGAAATTCTGTAAAATTCAATTATTTATGAATAAAATTAAATTCTCGACTAGAATTTGTTTCCAATTTTTGAAAATAACTGTATTCCTTCGAAGAATTTTATTACCTACTTTTGAAAATAATTGAATTTTTGTGATAAATTTTTGTTATTAATGAAAACAATTCAATTTTACCAAGAATTTTATTAACATTCCTTTTAAACTAATTGAATTTTTTAGAAGAATTTTGATAATATTTATCAATTAGAGAAGAATTATATTAAAATTTTTGAATATATAGACAATAATAATTAATTATGTACTTAATAAGTGATTTTTTTAAAAATTTTGATTATGAAATTGTTCAAAAATAAAAAATGTTGTAAATTGCATAATAATAATAAATAAAATACTATTTTGAATTTTTCGAAATAGAATTTTAATAAATACCTAATATATTTAGGAAATTGTGTGAAAAAATTGTGAAAAATGGGAAAAAAGTTTGAAATTTTCTGAAATGAAGTATTAAATTATACCTCCTCGACATGTTCGCCTCTTCTTAATTCCATGTCTTTGTGCTTATTAGGAGTTACATTTGGAAGTTGGTCTAAAAAGATGTTGGTCTCGTTAAACCTTAAGCCACTAAAGAAGAGACGACTTGGATTATTATCATTCTTCCTTCGTCTCGGTTTTCGTCGTCTACCTCTTCCGCTCCTTTCTTTTTTATTCTTACGAATTTTCCTCTCCCTATTTGAGTTCTTCTCCAGGTACTTCCGCTTTCGTCGGTGCTGTCCACGGTACTTTCTCATTCGTTCAGCTCGTCCTTGGAGTCTTTTAATCTCATTTTCCGCGATGTCGTCCACAGAGTCCGGTCCTTTCTTAATTTGCGCCCGGGTATTTTTCATTTCGTTACCAACACGAACAACCTCGGCACCATTCATCCTCGACTTGTTAACGCGTTGTTTAACATGACCGTCCTTGTTAACATCTTTCGGCCTCACGATGAGTGGTATCGTCGCTGAAAACAATAGATATCAACTAATCTGCCTGTATTTTGCAAAAAAAAAAAATTCAGGGTGGCCACAAAAATTTTAGATTGTTTTTCTCTGAGCCTAAAAAATATTCTAAACTTAAAAGTAAAATTAAATTAAAAATTAAATTAATTTAATTAATTAAATTAAACTTTTTCATAACTATAAAACATAAAGAAATCGATTACTCCGAGTCTTCGACTCGGAGTAATCGATTTCTTCATGTTTTATAATAATTAAAAATGTCAAATTGATAAAATCACTATTTTTTAATTATAAGAATATTGTACTTCTTCAAAGTTATTTTCATCATTTCAATAAAATTATTATTTTTAAAAATTTGTCACTAGAATTTTTCTTTAAATCAATTAATTTTCAAAAAAGTTCTTCTAAAATTTTCAAAATCCATTTATTTACAATATTTAATTTTGATAAAATTTCAATTATTCGTAAATTCTTCAATTAAATATATATTAGAAAATAAAAACTTGAAATAATATAAAAAAAATTCAATTACACTTTTTCAAAAAATTTTTTTTCAAATTTTAAAATTCAATTATTTCTCAAAATTCACGCTATATTGCTTTTAATATTCAATTATTATTTAAAATTTTAACTGAAATTCATTTTTACTAAATGAAAATCAATTTTTATTAGAAAATTCTACTAGAAATCAATAATTTAAAGAATTTTATTAAAAATTTTGAAAACAAATTGAAATCCATTTGAAACATTTTATTATTTATGAAAATAATTGAAATCTTGCAAAGATTTTTATTAAAATTTTTGATAAATAATAGAATTGTTTAGGTGAATATTTAAATTCTTTGCAAAATTTTAATTAATAGTGTATTGAAAAAAATTGAATTCTTTCGTTAAACTTTATTAAAATTTAGTTGAAAAAAAATTGAATTTTTGCAAAATATTTTTTACTATTTATAAAAATAATTGAATTTTTCCAAATAATGTTATTATTTATGAAAATAATTGAACTTCTGCAAAGAATTTTATTAGTTTTGAAAATAATTGAATTTTTGTGATAAATTTTTGTTATTAATGAAAATAATTTAATTTTACAAAAAATTTTGATAATATTTATCAATTAGGGAAGAATTATATTAAAATTTTTGAAAATATAGACAATAATCATTAATTAGTATTAAATAACAATTGAATGTTTCTTAAAATTCAAAATTCTCATAAAGAATTATACAAAAATATTTTTAAGTAATTGAATTCTTTCGACGATTTTTAATAAAATTTTAAAAAATAATTACATTTTCCAGAGATTTTTGATATTTATAAAGATAATTGGAATTTTTGCAAAAAATTTTATTAAAATTTCCGAAAATAATTGAATTTTTGGGGAGAATTTTTATATTTATCTGCAATGAATTTTATTTTTTTTTGAAAATAATTGAATTCCTAAAAAGAATTTTATTATTTGCAAATACAATTGAATTCCTGTAAAAAAATTTTAATATTTATGAGGATAATGGAATTATTGCGAAGAAATTTATAAAAAATTTGTAAATAATTCAATTCTTTTGAAGAATATTTGAAAATAATTGAATTTCGGAGAAGAATTTTATTATTTATAAAGATAATTGAAATTTTGACCAGAATTTTACTTTTTTTAAACATAATTAAATTTCTGCGAAGGATTTTATTACTCTTGAAAACAATTGAATTTGTGCAATATTTTGAAACTTTTCCAAAATTAAATTTTTTTAGTGTTAACTAAAATTTTTCTATAAATCTATTATTTTTATTAATTTTTGAATTAGTTTTTTGAGAATTTTCAAATTCATTTGTTTTCAACTGAAATTAATTTTTAAATCAATTTTTATTAGAAAATTCTACTAGAATTCAATAATTTAAGGGCATTTGAACCTTGATGACGTTACAGATTGTGCAAAGCATGTGTGACGTCATCAAGGTTCAAATGCCCTTAAATACTCAAAATAATTTATTGTATATTTGAATGTTTCTTAAAATTGAATTTTCATAAAGAATTTTATCAACAATTTTAATTTTATTAAAATTTTATTAGTAAGAATAATTTAATTTCTAAAAATAATTTTATTATTTAGAAAAATAATTGAATTGCTGTAAAAAGTTTTATTATTTTTGAAAATAATTGAATTTCGCAGAATAATTTTATTACTTATAAATATAATTGAAATTTTCACTAGAATTTTATTAATATTTTTTAAAAATAATTGAATTTCAAAGAAGAATTTTTTAAAAATTGTTCGAAATAATTAATTTTCCGAAATGTAATAAATATTATGATAATTTTATTTTAAATAATTGAATTCTTTTGTATAACTTTATTTGGGAATAAATTGAATTTTTCGATTAATTAATTTAAAATTTTATTAAAAATAATTGAAATTCTGCTATGAGTTTTATTATATTTATGAAAATAATTAAATTCTTAAAAAGAATTTTATTATTTAGAAAAATAATTGAATCCCTGTAAAAATGTTATTATTTAGAAAAATAATCGAATTATCTTGCTAAGAAATTTATAAAAAATTTGTAAATAATTGAATTACTGTGAAATTTTTATTATTTTATGAAAATAATAGATATTGAAAATCATTAAATTGAGGAAAATTTTTGGAAATAATTGAAATTTTGCCAAGAATATTATTATTTATAAAGATAATTGAAATTTTGACAAGAAATTTAAATAATTTTTGAACAGAATAGAATTTCTGCGAAGAATTTGATTACTTTTGAAAATAATTGAATTTCTGCAATTATTTGTAATTTCTCTAAAATTTTCCAAATTATATCGTACAATTTACGTCTAGTGAAATTCTATAGAACTTTTTCAGCTGGGTATTTAATAAAAATTGAAAAGAAAGAAAAATTGAAAATTAAAATTGCTTTTCGAACAAGATATTATTAACTATTCAGTGAAAAGCTAAAGAAGGTATAAAAGTAAAAACAAACCAGTTGGGAAAAACTCATATAACATTTTCTTGAATCTTCATTATTCGTGAAATTTTCATTTTCTGTTGTTGACACTTTTCTTTTATAGAGAGATGGAAAAAAAGGAATGAAAAGCAAGTGACAACTGAAAATAAATAAGGCTCACTTACTAGAGTCGGGAGGAAAATTCCCATTCCTATTTCCGGCACCCCGAGGCACTAGTTCCGTTTCTGCTTCAACTTCTTGGTCCATAAGGGCCGCCTCTTCATCGAGCGTCCTTCCACCCTCGGGAGACGCGTTCCATCTAATGGAAAACAAAGTGTTTCTCGGGAAAGGAATTCCAGAATGGTTCTCTCTTCTTCTCCGCTAGACTGAAATTAAACTTAATATCGCGCGGTTCTGACGGAACGATAATTCAATTTTATTATCTTTTTTTCTTTTTTCTTTCTTTTTTTTTTTTTTTTTGAAGCAGCAGGAACTCAACCGTCGGGGGTGTTCGCGCGTAAAAAGAAGAATATAATAAACGCTTTAAATTATAAACTCCATATTGAATTCACAGGCGGTTGCCTTAAGAAATGATATTTTCCTTTTTGTTTAAAAAAAAAGTCTGCCACGAAAAAACAAATTCAATTATTAGACTAAGGCAATTCAAAAGTTATATCTTCATTCGCTCGAAAAAAAATGTATATTTTTAAGTCAAATATCGCGAAGGACGTATATCTTTTATTTTTCTAATCGTAAACTGTCAAAAATAAAAAGTAAACTTTTTGAAATATTAAAAGTAAAAATATTTTCTAAAAAAAATTCTAATTCTAATAAAAAACAATTTTCTTTCATTAACTTACGGTTTCCCTTTTGCCAATATGGTTTTTATCTCTATACTTCTTCTTCCGACTGCATTTTGACAATGACCTGTAAAAGAAATACGAAAATAATTTTTCTCTACATTTTAGAAAGAATAGAATAGAAAAAATAGAATTTTTATGCAAAAATTTTATTCTGTATTTCTCTCGTCTTTCATCAGTGATAACAAAAAATACAAAAAATCAGTCTAATAATTTCGTCCATTGAGGTGAGAACTTTAAAACTTTTGTCTGACTAATATTGACTTGAACTACTTGTACGAAAATACACTTGTAGAATAATCTACTTGTACAATAATAATTAAATATTCTGTTTATTACTTTCGACTAATAATGATAGAACACTTAAAATTTTGTCTGACTAATATTGACTTGAACTACTTGTTGGGATCTCAATAAATAAATATCCTGGCTATTGCAATTTTTTTTTGTCACTGTTACCAAGAAAAAACAAAAATTCGGTTTACGTATTTTAATCATTAATGTTGAAACCTTCAAATTCTTGTCTGACTAATAAAGACTTGAACTACTTGTCTAGGAGTCAGAAAATTTTTTAAACTGTCTGACTACATACACTTTTTCTACTAACGGTACTAAAATACACAATTTTGACATCTAAAACTGACTATTAATATAAAAATATTCAAACTTTTGTCTGACTGATACTGGCTTAGACTACTTCTGGAAAAATCATAAAAATTAAATATCCGGCTGACTGAACTTGTCTTTTATCACTGATGGCAAAAAATACAAAAATCCTCTCTACTAATTTCGGCATTAATGTTAGAATTTATTCATTTTTGTCTGACCTATATATTGACTTGAACTACTTGTAAAATAATTACAAATATTATATACTATAGTCTTTCCCAAATTCAATTATTTTCTACAATTTTTAACTAAATTTCATCTATGAATCAATTATTAAAAAACAAAAATTCAATTATTTTCAGAAGTAATAAAATTCTTCGCAGAAATTCAATTATTTTAAAAAAATCAAAAAATAATGGTCGTCAACATTTCAATTATCTTTATAAATAATAAAATTCTTTTCTGGAATTCAATTACTTTCAAAAATTTTTTATAAAATTCTTAACAAAATTTAAATTATTTTAAAAAATAACAATATTCATAACAAGAATTCAATTTTTTTAATATTAATAATATTCTTCGCAGAAATTTAATAATTTTCAAATGTAATAAAATTCTTCGCTAAAATTCAATTCTGTTCAAAAATTTAAAGAAATTCTCGTCAAAATTTCAATTACATTTATAAATAATAAAAATTTTCTCAATACTTTCTAGAAATTACAACTACATATAGTCCTTCCAAAATTCAATTATCACATTAATAATTTCAGAAATTCAATTATTTCCAAAAGTTTTTTTGCAATTCTTTGCAAAAATTCAATTATTTTCAAAATTTTTTTAAAATTCTCGTCAAAAATTTTAATTACCTTTATAAATAGTATAATTCCTTTGCAAAATTCAATTATTTTCAAAAATTTTTAAAAATTCTCGTCAACATTTCAATTATTTTTATAAATAATAAAATTCCTTTGCAAAATTCAATTATTTTCAAACATTTTTTAAAATTCTCTTTAAAATTACAATTATTTTCAAAAGTAATAAAATTCTTCTATGAAATTTAATTATTTTCAAAAATTTTAATAAAAATTTTAGCAAAATTTCAATTATTTTCAAAATTAACAATATTCTTCGCAAAGAATTCAATTACTTTCAAAAATAATACCATTCTGCGCAGAAATTCAATTATTTTCAAAAAATAAAAAAAAATGGTCGTCAACATTTCAATTATCTTTATAAATGAATAACAAAATTCTTCTCAGAAATTCAATTCTGTTTTAAAATTAAAAATAATTCTCTTCAAAATTTCAATTACGTTTATAAATAATAAAATTCTACTAAATACATTCTAAAAAATAAAACTATAGTCCTTTCAAAATTCAATTATTTTTTACAATTTTTAACTAAATTTCATCTCTAAATCAATTATTTAAAAACAAAAATTTCTATTTTTTTATAATAATTGTTTATTTTAAAAACTTATTAAGGTATAATATTTTCAATAAATTGTAATAAAGAAATTCTTAATATTAATTTTTTAAAAATATTTCGAAATAATTGAAATTTGATAAATACTTTTATAAATAAAAAAAAAAAATATTTAAATTCATATTTAAAAAATATGAAAAAATAATAAAATTTTAAGGAATAAAAAAAAGTGTAAAGTTTTGAAAATAATTTAATTTCTTCAAAAAATTTCTGTAAGTTATTAAAAACTAATAAATTTTTTTGAAGAACTGTAATTAAAAATGTTGAACATAATTGTGTTGTCCAAAATGTTAAAAATAATTCTAAAAAATTTTAATGTTATTATTTTTTGTGTGTAATTGAATTTCTTGAACATGTAAGTGAAAATATTGAAATATTTAAAATTTGAAAAAATTAGAATGGAAAAATTCTAAGAATTTCTTTTTTCAAAAATATTTTAATATCATTTTTAGAAGAAAATTTTCATTTTAAAAATTACAGTTTTATTTCCGCATCATTACTTTATAATTATTGAATTATTATTGCAAGTCAGCCAAAAAGCTTAAAATATTTTTAAAAAGTAGTAAAAGCCAAAAATTTGGGTTTAAGTAGTTCGAGTCAATTTATGTCAGACAACACGTTTTAGAATTTTTTAAATACTTATTTAAGTACTAGAAGTGAATTTGGTCAGTCAAAGTTCTGAAAACTTCTTTAAAAAGTTCCCAAAGTTTGCAGTTTTCGGTTCAAGTAGTTTAAGTAAATTTTAGTCAGACAAAAACGTTTTAGAATTTTTAAAATCCTTTTTTAAGTAATAGAAGTAAATTTGGTCAGTCAAAGCTCTCAAAATTTCTTAAAGTTTTAGAATTTTAAAAATTTTTATTCAAGTAGTAAAAAATCAAAAGTTGATTTTCAAAAATTGTAATAAAATACTTAAAAAAAAACTTTTGGCAATTAAATTTTACAAAATTTCAATTATTCTAAAATTTTTTTAATTATAGGATATCGTAAAAATTTATTCAAAAATATAATTTTGAAAAATTTGTTTATAGTTATTTTTTATACAATAAAAATCGAAGTAAGTTGCATTTTATACTAAAAATTTGATATTTTGTTGCACCATTTGGAAAAATTTTGAAAAGTCGCATTTTTTGAAAATAAGTCGAAAAAAGTGGAAAAAGTCATAAATTCCAAGGCCTGAAGGTATAGGTAAAAATTTATTTTACCTATAAATAACAATTAACCCACTTTTTATTACGAGAATGAATATAATTTTTTTTTTCAAACAGAAATAAGTTTTTCTGGCATAAGAATTCTAACTTTTGGATTATGTAAGTCATATTTTATTCTAAATGTACGGAGAAAGATAAAAAGATACGGAAAGATAGTTAAATGAGTCAAGGAACGAGTGCGGGACGTTGAAGAAGTATTCACAAAGATGTAAAAGTTCCCTGCCTTCTGTCTGTGAATTTTCTTCGAGTATTTGTAAAGTAAAGTTCTTCTTTTTATTGACAAAAACTTCATTCGAGAAATTCTAAAGTCAATGGGACTTTTGTTTCATGTTCTTCAATATCTACAAAATGTATTTTCTTCTGTTTAGTCTCAATATTGGGTATATTATTGTCAATGCGGAAATGAAGAAGAAGAAAAAAAAAGAAGGAAAGAGAAGGAAAAAAAAGAAGGTGGAAAAAAATCTTAGCAACTCTAGAATATTTTATTAAAAATAATTTTATGCACATAATTTTTTTTCCTTTGTTGCAAATAATGTATAACGAGAGCAAGTGGGTTTGCATCCGAAAAATCCTAAATAAATATTAAGTGGTACAAATCAAACGAATTTTCAACTAAATCGATAATACCCTGCATTCGGTTTGATCAGACTTTGTTGGACTTTCTCAAGCACTTCTCATGTATATTGAGCTACATAATTGAATTTCAAAATGAGTTCCTTTGTCACGAGGAAAATAATTTCGAGAATCATTTTATTATGAAAGAAACATTTAAGGCAAAAAAAATTCGTTTGTTTATTTTACATTATATTACAAAAATTATTATTATTCCCTAGAATTGAATTATTTTTAATAATATTTTAATAAAATGTTCAAAATTTTTTAAAAATTCTCTTCAAAATTACAATTATCTTTATAAATAATAAAATTCTTCTCCGAAATTCAAATATTTTCAAAAATTTTAATAAAATTTTTTCAACAAAATTTCAATAATTTGCAAAAATAACAATATTTATATCAAGAATTCAATTATTTCCATAATTAATTTCTTCGCGGAAATTCAATTATTTTCAATAATTAAAAAAAATGGTAGTGAACATTTCAATTATCTTTATAAATGAATAGCAAAATTCTTCGACAAAATTCAATTCTGTTCAAAAATTAAAAAGAATTCTCGTTAAAAATTTCAATTACGTTTATAAACAATAAAATTCTTCTGAATACTTTCCAAAAATTACAACTATAGTCCTTCCAAAACTCAAGTATTGTCCACAATTTTTAGCTAAATTTGATCTCTAAATCAATTATTTAAATATAAAAATTCAATTATTTTCAAAAGTAATAAAATTCTTCTCTGAAATTCAATTCTTTTCAAAAATTTTAATAAAATTCTTAGCAAAATTTCAATTATTTTCAAAAGTAATAAAATTCTTCTCCGAAATTCAATTATTTTCAAACATTTTAATAAAATTCTTAGCAAAATTTCAATTATTTTCAAAAATAACAATATTTATAGCAAGAATTCAATTATTTTCAAAAGTAATAAAATTCTTCTCTGAAATTCAATTATTTTCAAAAATTTTAATAAAATTCTTAGCAAAATTTCAATTATTTTCAAAAATAACAATATTTATAGCAAGAATTCAATTATTTTCAAAAATTTTAATAAAATTCTTAGCAAAATTTCATTTATTTTCAAAAATTTTAATAAAGTTCTTAGCAAAATTTCAATTATTTTCAAAAGTAATAAAATTTTTCTCCGAAATTC